CCCAGTCCCTTTAAATGCAAAAACAAGGTTTTTTTTCTTTAAAATCTGTTTCTGTAGTTAAAGGAAACATTCAAATTGGCCGTTTTAAATCCACCAAGCCACCAAAGATAGGTGGCTACTAAGCAACAGGGCAATTCCTGTGCTCTGCTTATCTATACAATACCTAGCTTTGGATTGAGAGACCAGGTGGCCCCCAACTCAGGACCCCTCCTGGAAATCCAGAAGCTCTTGTAATTTCCAATAAAATCTCCCTAACCTCCCTTCTTGGTTCATGACTTCACTCCTCAACATTTGTGGAACCATGAGCTCAATATATACAGTAACATCATCACATTTAATCCTCCTAAAACTAGTAGGTTACATGCTCTTCTGTGACTCCTGCCAATATGAACATATGGTATATTACTGGCCACATGAAAGAGAAAATGCTAAAAAAATAAAAAATAAAATCCATAATTGAGTGAACACAAGACCTGAAGTATAAGGATGTAAGTGAACAGGGGAAATGTAAGCACACTTTACCACAACTTTTTAAAAAAAGTACTCAGGGTGGCTGGGGATTTAGCTCAGTGGCACTACGCCTGCCTCACAAGTGCAAGGTCCTGAGTTCGATCCCCGGTACAGGGAGGTAGTTACTCAGGGGACTGAACCTATGGCCTCTGCACTGAACCACATGCCCAGCCCTTTTTAATTTTATATTTTGAGACAGCCTTGCTAAGTTGACGAGGCTGGTCTCCATCTACACACCCTCTTGCCTCAACCTCCCAAACAGTTGTAATTACAGCCTTACACCACCACATCTGGATTCCACCATGACTTCTAATTTGGCATTTTCTAGTTCCAGGTCCTCACTTGCTCATCCTGTGGCAGATACCATTCTAAATTGGAAAATGGAATCAAGAATCTTCTGAACTAAATTTCAGAAGTAGCTATCACATAAAGTGCTAGTTCTCCCAATCTGTTTCCCCTTCTTCCCTGTACACCAGATTCAGATAAAGATTATAGTTCCCAAACACTACTGCATCTAAATTCTGGACATTGGGATGTAGGTGGAAGAGTCTGGTGCAACTTTAAGGAAAGGTCCTACAGGATGTGGACAGTTCTTCCTCTCCGTTTCCTTCTTCCAACTGACTGAAAAACAGACAAGATGTTGGAGAGCATGAAGTAGAAGACACACATTAACAATGGCTAAATCCTGGATGGAAGAAGCCGGCATCCAAGAAAAACTGTGAAATGCCACATCAGCCCTAAGCAGCCTTTTGACTTCCTTTACATGAGAGACAAATGAATCTTTTTCCAAGTCATTATTATTTTAAAATTTCTGTCACATATAGTTAATTTTCTTTTCTTTTCTTTTTGAGATAGGGTCTCAATTTAGGCTGGCCTTGAACTCACTATGTAGTCCAGGTTGCCCTCAAACTTGCAGTATCCTCCTGCTTCACTCTCCTGAGTGCTGGGATTACAGGCATGAGCCACCATGCCCTTCGAGAGCCAAATTTAATACCAACCAATATAGCAGCTAAAAACAGAATCCAGAAATTCAGATGACTGACTAACTCTGAAATAGCAGAGTGCTGTAGTTAGGACTATGACCTCCAAAGCCAATACGCCTGGTTCTACCACATAGTACCTGCAAGAGCTTGGGCAAATTAGTCATACTGTATGCTTCAGTGATGTTACTTATGAAGATAATAACAGTACCCACCTCTGAGAGTGGTTAAGAGAACTGAGTTACTTAGACCTTTCCCCCACCGCCATCCCAAGCTCCTAGGGCAGGGAAGCTGAGCCAGTCCCAGCCCCCGGAAGGAAGCTCCCCGCCGCCATCCCAGGCTCCTGGGGCAGAGAAGGTAAGCCAGTCCCATCACCCAGAAGGAAGCTCCCCTGCCGCCATCCCTAGCTCCTAGGGCAGAGAAGCTGAGCTGGTCCCAGAACCCGGAAGGATGCTCCCACCTCCATCCCAGGCTCCTAGGGCAGAGAAGCTCAGCTGGTCCCACCACCCAGAAGGAAGCTGCCCCGCTGCCATCCCAGGCTCCTAGGGCAGAGAAGGTGAGCCAGTCCCAGCACCTGGAAGGAAGCTCCCCACCATCATCCCAGACCCTAGGGCAGAGAAGGTGAGCCACGGGGGTGCCAGAGGCACCCCCCCCACCCCGTGGAAATGAGAAGACACATAAACAAGCCTCAAAAACAGAGTTCCAGATCACCTACAGCAACCCCAAAGGGAAATGAAATGGAACAATCTGATACTCAACCACCTGGACTCTCTGAACTGGCAACAAAAGAGGATCTGGGAAAAATGAAATCAGAAATAATTACTCAGATAACAGCAAAGATTTTGCTCATGGTGCAAGACATGATTAATAAATCTAGAGAGGACACATTAAAAAAATAGAGGATCTGAGGAACATGATGGAATTCCAACATAGGAAACAAATGGAATCCATAAAACAGATGCAAACAGATTTCCAGGAGATTAAAAACTCCATCGAAAGTCTGCGCAGCAGAATGAGCCAGTGTGAGGATAGAATTTCACATATAGAAGATAAGATTGCAATTAGTGAGGAGGAAAAGAAAATTGCTTTAAAATTGTAAAGGAACACAAGAAATCAATCCAGCAGCTGCTAGACGATGCAAAGAAGAATAACATAAGACTGATTGGAGTCAATGAGGAAACAGGAGAGAGTGCAGATGACATAAAAAAAACTGTTCACATAAGTGATGGCAGAAAACTTCCCAAGGAGGGGAAAAGAACTTGACATACAGATAAGTGAGGCATATAGGACTCCAAATAGCCTTGATCAAAAAAAATCTACATGTAATAGTTAGGATTCCAGAAACCCAACAGAAGAACAAAATTCTACAAGCAGTGAGAGAAAAGAAACAAATCACATGCAAAAGCCCATCAGAATCACAGCAGACTTCTCAATGCAAACCCTCAAGGCAAGAGCTTGGAGTGATATATTTCAAGCCCTAAAGGAAAACAGCCTCCAACCCAGATTGATGTACCCTGCAAAACTATCTTTCAAAATTGATGGAGAAATAAGATACTTGCATGATAAAGAGCACCTCAGGAACTTCATGAATACTAAACCAGCACTCCAAAAAATTTTAGACAATACCCTAGGAAAAGAGAACTGAGTTACTATTTATTTGCAAAGTACCTGGCATACAGTAAGTGCTATGTAAGTATCTGTTAAATAAAATAAATACATTTGGAAGAGGGTCAAAGAAAACAATACCAATTACAGGGAGTCTGTGGGCCAGACTAATCCTCCACACATTTAAGATTATCCTTAGTGGAACACAAATAAGTTTTGTTGGGCTATCCATGTTTCGATTTCCCTTCTAACAAAGAATAGTGGATAGTAAAATTTAGAGACTAGGATACTGAATATCACCAAAAACTGTCATCCTCTGTGTATGTACTGAAGTGGCAGTACTTTACCCACCAGGGAAATTGAAAGATCCTCTTACTCTCACCCCTCAGAGCACTAGATCACTTCTCAACTGACCTGACACACTTTCAGGGGAGCTATAACAATGTCATGGAAGAAAACAAAACCTCCCTCATCCTTCTGAACCTATCAAAGATAATCTTAGTCCATTCTTAAATTGGCCAACAAGCTAACTCATATCTTGATTAAACCTCATTCTGTTCTCAAAAAAGATGAAAGCACCTGATTGCCATTTAAGACATAATACCCTCTTTGCTTCTAGAAATGACGGTTCCCATTTGTACTTTCAAGTTCCCTTACTTAAAGGTCTTGAAAAGAATTATTACTCTCTCAGAGCTTTCTCCAACCCAGTTTATGTAAACAGAGTTGACAGAGTAGAAATGGTCTCTGGTTGTGTTTAGTTGGTTTGTGCAGTACTGGGGATTGAGTCCTGGGCCTTCCCACTGAGCTACATCTCCAGCCACCACACCTAGCTGATATCCATCATATTAATAAGTGTGACAATAATACATTTTTCCTTTGAACCATTTCCACCCCATCTGAAAACTTAATGAAAACGTCATCTTTTCGTTTGTTTTTTGAGATAGGTCTCCCTGTGTAGCTCTGGCTGACCTTGAACTCACTGTGTAGCCTAGGCTGCCTCGAACTCGCTGCAATCCTCTTCCCTCAGCCTCCCAAGTGCTGGGATTTTAGGCATGTGCCATCATGCACAGCCAAGACTTCGTATTTCTTGACCCATTGCTCTTATGTCTCTAGTCTAACCTGGGTCAAATATCTTAAATTTTCTACATTTCTCAAAATTAGTCACTTCTCAGCTGCTCTGGTGATTCCATATCCCATCCTATCCCCATCTCCCAACATACACACGCAAGGGACAAAATAAAGGTCAGCAAAACTCCACCTTAGCTGAAAAACAAACTGCTGATAGTCCTAGGGGTGGGGGAATGAAAGAAAGTAGGATAACAGACTGTTTCTAAAATTCTGCACTCTACAGAACCACTGAAAATGACTTGAATCTTTTCCCAGTAGTGAGCAATAACCAGGGCAGATGAGTCTACCCACGCTATCACCAGTCAGTCAATAAGAGACCTAGGACCCTGGCAGGAGACACCCCCCACAAAAGGCTGGAACTGAATCCTCAGATGGGTCACCTGTCCTCCAGAACAGTATCTCCCAGCTTGGGTCCAAGAAAAGAGCACAGACCCAAAGCCCCAAATCTGTAGGCCAATGGCCGAATAGTAACCCCAGGAGTTTAAAGCTGAGGAATCTACCAGAAAACAGCCAAGCATGTGCCCACGCCTCTGTCCAGAGGCAGATTGCTTCACCACACAGCTAAGCCCCTTGCCTGTATCTAGTCAATCAATTTCCTCTTTTCATTTTCCGCTCAAGCCTCCCCCACCAAAAAGGTTCTGATTTATTTCTTCACTCCGCAGAGCTTCCCTATCTTCAGTCCTCAGAGGCATCCCCAAATCGTGCTAAGGGCCGGCACTCTGAAGTTTCTCTCTTCTGCACCATGCAGTCCCCCTTCTCCACGACCCGCGCGCTCACCCCCTGAGGGTCCTTCACGAAGTAGCTTCCGCTGGAGCCCTGGTAGATGCGCTCGGGGAAGATACAGCGCTCGATGGCCAGCTCGGCCTGCCGCACCACCGCCTCGAACTCCGGGTCCTCGGGGAACTCGTTCCGCTCACGGGGGGCCTGTGCGGCGTGCGCTGCTGCCGCGGCCTGGGCGGCCAAGGCTTGGGCCTGTGCCGGCACGGTATGGGTCTGGCCCTGAGCCGCCGCGCCCCTGGCCCGGTCCAGCAGAGGCTGCCGCTCGCGGTCGTGGCCCGGCGAGCCCGGCGGAGAGGGGCCGGAGCCGGCCGCAGCCGCCACGCGGACCGCGGCCCCCGGAACCTGAGGGAAGTGAGCGCCAGAGCCCGACGGGAAGGTGTACTCCGGGGGTTGGGCCCGCTCAGGGGACACTAGTGGGCTCGTCTCGTCCATCCCTCAGGCAGCCGGCTCAGGGACCCGGCGAACTACACAGCTGAGCTAGCGGCCGGAACCAATCCGCGACACCCCCCACCTCCCGCCTGGCCAACCAGGCCGCGGCGCCTCCTTGGCCCCGCCCCTAGACAATCCTGTTTACTTGGCGACGAGTAGGCTCGGCCCCTCGCGCGCGAACAGTAGCCAATCAGAACTCGTTCTACGCAATCGCAGCCTCCGCGTTTTTCTCCCGTCACTTTCAGGAAAGACTGCGCATGTTCTAGGAACTAAACCCGGGTCAGGCACGCCCTTTGCCCGGACCCTCTTTGCCCCGCCCTTAATTTCCAATTGGCTGAGACAATTTTTAATTTGCATAGACAGCAATGTGGCTATTAGTCACGCGTTAATTGAGCGCCTATTATGAGATGGCTGGGAAGCTGGAAGAAAGCGCATCTTTGTATCATTAATTGAGCATCTGCTATGTTCTAAGTGCTGCAGAGACAGCAGTGAAGCAAAGAAGCAACATCCTGGGTTAAAAAAAAAAACAAAACCCAACCCTCATGCGGCATACATAGTGGATGGCCCAATTGTTCACTGCTTGTTAATTGAGGAAAGATACAGACCCATGGGATACAAGGTAAGCGTCCACGACTTTTACTCACCACTGTGAATGCTGTGTCTAAATACCGTAGGTGCTGGGTACATTTTTAGTAGTGGAAAAGAGTAGGAAGATAGAACCCTGTTCTCAAGCTGAGGACACGGCTTGCTGAGGCAGTATGGGAGAAAGTCAACAATGCTAGCTAAAAACTCCATTATAGGGGTTCACCACTTTGGGGAGAGTCAAAAAGGCAATAAGTAGTACTGTGCTATGAGCTAAGGCGTAAAGGAAATGTGTAATTAAATCATTGAGGAAAGGGGAAAGATAAAGAAAGGTACATGAAGCAGAAGAGGTTGCTGAAGGAAAGGAAAAGGAAGGTTAGAACCCCAGGAAACACAGCAACCTGCTGGACTGAGGGAAAGCTACATTAAGTTGGGTTCCCAAGGGCCTGGAGAGCTAACTAGCAGGTGTCTGGCATGTGAGGGGCCAGAGGGAGCTTTGGAGAACAGTTGTTACTTAAGGGAGTGATGTGTCAACCTACTCCAGGCCCATGCACCTCGAAGAAACACTGGAATAAGAATGGGTGGCACGTGAAGGAGGGTGCATAGTTAGATGAGATAACTAAAATGTTTACTAACTTCATCTTTTTTTCTTTTGGTACAGCTGGGGATGAACTCAGAGCCTCACACATGCTAGGCATGTGCCCCAACTAACACTACCTTCTAAAGTGCAGGACATAATGGTTAGAAATATGGCCTTGGAAATCAAAGACATCTGAGTTTGAATTTCAGCTCTATAATTGCTATTTTGGAAAAGTTACCTGATCTTTCTAAGCCTCAGTTTTCTTATCTATAAAATGAGAAGAATCATCCTTATCTCACTTGATTAAATAAAAACCTATATGTAAAGCAAGTTGCATAGTATTTAATGCATAAAACCATTCAACAAATGTTAGCCTTTTATCACTGCCAAGGTTATTGTTAATGTTAGTTATTGTTAATGTTGTTGGTTTTGTGCTTAAAGTATCCAGCAGACTAGAGGTATAGGTTTTCACAAAAGATGACCAGCCACATAGTCAACAGTATTTCACAATCATTCTTTCTGAAGACAAATTATTGCCACGACTAACTGGGAGTATTAAATTGAAAGAATTATTGTTTAGTTGCTTGTACAAGGATGTCAAACTTTCTAGCCAAATAAACAATTCTAGGCAAAGGTCCATACTGCGTTTTTTTGAGACAGGGTCTTGTTATGTAGCCCAGACTGGCCTTGAATTCACAATCATCCTCACTCAGCCTTCTGAGTGCTGGGATTATAGGCATGGATAGTTGCCCCTTTCAGTTACAACTCACTTTTGATCCCCAGTACTGAAAAAAAACAACAACTCACATTCACTTTTCCTATCTAATCATCAAATAGCTAAGTGATGGGCTGGGGATTTAGCTCAGTGGAGCTGCCACCTGCCTCATAAGGTCCTGAGTTCGAATCCCTAGTACCCCCCCCCAAAAAGCTAAGTGATGCCTTGCCTCTTGTGTTCCACAGGCCATAACCACAGAGATGATTTCTTTGTATCCTTATATTATGTATATTTAGCCCAGGAGGTTCAAATTATGATTAATGAAGTGTCCCAGATTTGGAATTCTCCTTTGAATTCTGAGTTTTTACTCTATTGGAAACCCCCTCAGAATTGAAGTCTACACTGTAGAACTTTATTTTCCTTTTACTGGAAATAGTGTCAATACATTGCCTATTCCTATAAAGAAATAGCACTTACTAAATACTAAGCATGTGACAGGTATTGTTTTCAGCGGATTAACTCATGCAACTGGCATTACAGCCCCTCCAGTATTGGAAACTAAGGCCTAGAGATGTAAAATAACTTACCCATAACCATTTAACGGGTAAATGGCAGTGCTAGACTCCAGTCTTGACAGATTGGTTCCATGCTTTCAAAACTAAAGTGTATTAAGGGCCGGGGATGTAGCTCAGTGGCACGGCACCTGCCTGGCAAGCACAAGGTCCTGGTACTGAGAGGAAAAAATAAAAACACAATTAAAGTATATTGCCTCTTGTTAAATATTGCTATAGCCAGAGCTGGGTGTAGTGGTGCGTGCCTGTAATTCCAGCACTCAGGAGGCTGAGGCAGGAGAATTGTCACGTGTTCAAGGCCATCCTGGACTACATGGCAAGACCCTGTCTCAACCCCCTCCCCCAAATATTGCTGTAGCCAGGTGTGGTGGCACATGCCTGTGATCCTAGCACTGGGAAGGCTGAGGCAGGAGGATTGCTGCAAGTTTGAGGCCAGCCTAGACTATACAGTGAGTCCAAGGCTAGCCTGAACTACACAGTGACAGCCTGTCTCAAAAAAGAATATTGCTATGAAATATGTCTCATAATCACCCCTTTCTTTCTGTCTCCACTGATGCAACACTAGTTTTTGAGTTTCTCTGCTTCCAATATCGCTAAACATCTCTGGGTATCAGTGACAGATTAATATTCCCAAAATATTGTTTTCATGTCACTCCTCTAGCCAAGAAACTATGTGGGGAGTGGGGTGGGGGCTGGTGGTTGAACCCAGGACCTTGCACATGCTAGGCAAGCTCTATCACTGAGCTACATTCCCATCCCTATTTATTTATTTATTTTGGTACCGGGGTTCAAACTCCGGACCTTGCGCTTCCGAGGCAGGCGGCGGCACCACTGAGCTAAATCCCCAGCCCCCCAGCCCTGTTTATTTATTTATTTACTTACTTATAGACAGTCTCACTGAGTTGCCTAGGCTGATCTCACACTTATAATCCTCCTGCCTCAGCCTCCTGAATAGCTGAGATTATCCATATGCACAGCATGAGGTACATTTTTATTGTTATAAAATATACATAATCCCTGACAAAACTAGCATCATGCTGCACTTACATAGTTCAGTAAATAAATACGGATACACGGACTGGAAAGCATAGTGTTTGGGAAGATTTGCTCCAATTTTGGGACTGTATTTTAAACACAAAGTTTCTGGGTGTTGACAACACAAATCCCTGTAATGAATACAAAAATGTCTTGATACCACAGTGCTTGAAACAGGGTTATGAAAGAGCAGTTCCTCTGCTCTGAGCATTATATATTACAAAACTGCACGTTTAAAGCAAGATTTAAGTTCTGTCGTAAAACTCAGCGGCAGGGCCAACTAACAACTGTAAGGATTTAGCTTCTTGAGCAAGTAGGCACGGAGACTTAAGCAATTTTGGTTTCGATTGGGGTTAACTTTGCTGCTACGCACCCTCTAGGTAAGCAAGACCTGGGTCCTCTCTTTGGGGTTTGCACAGGTGGGGCCTCACGCTCAGCCCCACCCCTCTTTCAGACATTCAGCCGGGGCTCTGGAAACGCTTTGCCCCGCACAAAGATGGCGCAAAGGCGACCTGACCCAATGGGGAGTGGCGTTGTTCCCGATTCCCTAGGTAACAGCCAATGGGCAGCGGGAACTGTGCCCAGTGTGGCCGCCCGGGATGGCGGCTTCCAGTGGGGCCAGTACTTCTGGAGGTAGCAGAGAGGAAGGCGGGTGGGGGGCGGAACAAAGGTCCTTGCCTCTGGAGCCGCGAATCTGGGCGTGACGGCCGTCCTAAAAGGCGGAGCCCAGGTTGGCTGGCGGCGGGGATGGGAGGGGGCCGCGAAAGTGTGGTCAGCCAGGTAGGAACTGAGTAGCGGAGCAGATTACTTGGACTGGGGATAGTGGCTTCTTCCCAGAGCGCCGACCCTGGGGCAGCTGCCTGTGGGGTCCTAAACCCGGGTCTCGAGCTCCCTCTGTGGTGCCGAGACCCGGGAGAGCCCACAGCACCTGGGAATGGGAGACGTTTGTGAGCCCAAGGGTGCTTGACGGGAGAGCAGACCCTGCTAAAGGGAAGGAAGCGGGGCTGGAATGCAAGAATGCAGTGGGAGACCGTGTTGCTTTGCTTAGGCCTAGGGCTTTGTTTGCTCTAGGGCCCATCTGTACCACACTCTGGAGGTGGAGACAAGCTTCAATTATTTGATGGGTGGCAAACCAGCAGTTTAGCATCTCTGAACTGCTTAGGTAACAACAGGAATAACTCTTGTCTGAGAAGCCAGCCCAAGCATACTGCTTTTCTTGAACTAAAATAGTACCTTGTCAGTGTTACTCCCTAGTCCCCATCACTCCCAAGTCATTGTCATTTTCTTGTTTTTTAAACCGTCTTTCAGGTACCAGTGTTTTCTTCCCACGTTCTTCAATTTGACCAGCACGGTCTTACTGAACAACACCTTTATATACTAACCATACATTTGTTTACTTTTCATGTGAGGCAAAGGGGAAGGGTTACATTTACAATTTTATTTTATTTATTTATTTTGGTTTTTTGAGACAGGGTCTCACTATGTAGTTCTGACTAGCCTTGAACTCACCATGTACATTTATAATTTTAAAACCAGTTATTATATGGAGTTTGTTTAAACACACTTTTATTTTTTGTTTGTTTTGTTTCTTGAGACAGGGTCTCACTGTGTAGCCCAGGCTGGCTTCAGACTTGCAGAGATCCTCCTGCCTCAACCTCCTGAGTGCTGGGACTACAGGCATGCACCACCACGCCTTGCAAAACTGCTTTCTTTATAATTGAAAGAACTTTGGCAAGAAGGCCATACCCTGGGAAGGGTGCTTTAGGTAACAATTTGAAGGTATATACGGGGAGTTAGGTGGCTGCTTCCAAACAATAGTCCCTATCTGAAAATCTGTTGCCCTTTATATTGTGCTGAAATCCAGTGATGGGAAGTCTGGGGTATAGCTTTCAGGCTCCCAACAGGTCCAGGCAGAGCATCTTTTCCATGGATGAGACTAAAGTCTCCCTGCTAATGAGGCCTCTACATAGTGGTGGTGACAAAAGTGGCAGGGTCCTAACTGTGTGTATGAACAGGGGTAGGGAGCTGGCCAAGTGCCTCAAGGCTGCAAACGTGTACTGTTTAGATAAATAAGCATTTCAGAGAGAGAATGTCCTTGAGAGCCAGCCAGACTCACAAAGGCTTCTGCTCATCTCAAGATCCCCTGCCAGACATCCTGACAATTAATCTTTAGAACAAGGTCATGGCACTGCTATGAACAAGGAAGAGCTCTGTATTTAATTTTAACCCTTCAATCTAGAGCCTAACCCCTAGGCCATCTATCCTCTCTAAAAAAATTATTTAAATAACTGACACAAATGCCTATTTGCATCCCTTGTTAAACTATTGAGATTTTTAGTCTTCCTCAGCACTGGCTATTCTTTATTAAAGTAGATCTGTCTCACTGACCGTGGTTACAGGTAGAATTCCATTTTGCATAGTGGGTCCCACTCTTGAAGGTTTATATAGCCTTCAGAAAAACTTATGATCTTTCTGTGTAAATAGTGACTTTGTGTTTTGTTTTGTTTTGTTTATTGATACCGGTATTGGTACTTGGGACCTTGCACTTGCAAGGCAGGCGGCGGCACCACTGAGCTAAATCCCTGGCCCTGTGACTTTGTGTTTTGGAATGATTGTCATTCTAATATTTAGTAGAAGATATAGGTTTTTTTAAATTCCAACAGACATATGTCAAAGGTATGAAATATTTTCAATTTGTACCTAAAGTTCACTCTTAGTGCTGTCACTTAGTTCTGGGAGGAGCTAAAGATGGTCTGTAGCTATCAAAATGCTTAGCTGGACTGGAAAGAGTTTTCCTCTGCAGCTCTGATGGAAAACTGCTTCTCTCCTGTCATTAATGTTGCATTGGCAATGGAGTCATGTTGACCTCAACCCTAGCACACTGATGCTGAGCTGATGATAAGAGGCTTGTGAACCTGAAATTGGATGCTGACTTTATGAGACACTAATAGAACAGAAAGGGTGCAGCAGGTACAGCATCACCTCTCTGAGAACATATTCTCCAGAGGTTTGGAGGGGCTATAGTAGGACAAACATATGGTCTCTGCCTAGGGATATCTTATACTAGGTGAAGGAACCTAGACATGAAGCTATTGACTAATAACTAGAAAAGTGAGAAAGTCCCATAGGAATGACCCCAAAACATCTCAGACAGCCTCCCCACAGATGACCTTTATTATGATATAAGAAATTAATGTTTCTCCATATTTGAATAAGAGTGCAAGGATTCTCCAGATTCAACTGTCCTCATGTCTGAAATTTGAGCTAAGAGTCAAGGTCAGGGCTTAGGAGATGTAACTGATCCTGCTTTAGGCCAGGCTATTCCACATCAGATCATTTTCATCCATTCAGTATCTGTGTCAAAAATGGCCAAAGTTTAAAAATACCCCGTAGGGTATTGGTGGAGAACAGAAGTGTGGCAACTATAGTTTGTTTTTCCCTCTACTTTTTAGTATGTAAGTCAAAATTGCTGAATTGTTCTGTTTCAAAATGTTATTTGAATTGTGGTGATAGCATTTTTACACTGAAGGAAGACTTTTGAGAAGTTTCCATTGCAGTAAGTAGTGTATCGGTCTCTTTTTGAAAAAGGGAAAGAAACCATTTAACAGACGGTGTCTGTCAACATTCTTTCTTTTTTTTTTTTTGGTACCAGGGATCAAACTCGGGTCCTTGAGCTTGCGAGGCAGGGGGCGGAACCACTGAGCTAAGTCCCTGGCCCTGTCAACATTCTTGATACATTTATGTATATTATTTAGTCCACCTGCTGTCTCTGAAATAGGTGTATTCCTTCCACTTTATAGATGTGGAGCCAGTGCTCAGTTCAGCAGCACACATATATTATAGATGAGGAGACAGATTTAGAGACACTTAAGTGGCTTATCCATGGTTACACAGTGAGCCAGGATTTGAACGGAGATCTTTCAGCTGTCAGGGTCCACAATACCACTATAGTGTATTAGGATGCAGGAGAGGATAAGATAAGCTAGAGTTTAAGAGCATGAGCTGTAGAGGCCAGCTGCCAGGCTTCTGACTCTAACTTCCACATGTTAGCTGAGAGACTAGTGAGACTTTACTTATCCTCCCTGTAGTTCAGTTTCCTCATCTGTAAACAGGAATAAAAATACCCACTTCATTGTGAGATGAAATTACATAGATAATGTATATGATAAGTGTTCAATAAATGTTAGTTCTTGTTATAATAGTATTTCAAATAGCTTCTCTGGAGTCTGCTCAGTTGATTATAGAGGGTTCTGCCATCTGAAGTGGAGTGTAAATAACTCAGCCCTGTCCACCACCACAGTTTAGAGAAAACAAATTTAATGCATATGTTGTTTTAGTTGAACATTTATTTTAGAGCATCAGATCCTTCTTGTACTGTGAGGCTGTGGAGCTTAGTATTCAGAACTTTGTCTTGTACACCAGCTCTGGCCCCTGTGCCTGAAGAAAAGGTACATTTGTTGTGTTGAAATTCATTCTGGGGCCTGTGAGGACAGACTCTAGGTTAATTATTAATTACAAGGAATCTTTCCGTGGTGATTTGTAGCTCAATTTTTACACACAGTATTTCCATTTAGTGGAATAGTAGTTCATAGGCTTCAAATGGGAATCTAGAATGTCATACAAACTCCAGATACTCTAGCTCCAGCTGTACAGAGGCTGATTCAGTAATTCTGAGTTTGGGTCTAGGAATCTGCATAGTCATCTTTTGAGAAAACATTGTGTTGCTTAGCTCTGGAAAAAGATGAAAGGTGAATAAAAAGGTATTCCTAGATTTTTTTTAAAATGCGGATTATATTTTTAATATGTCAAATGATTATTTCTTTATATTTAATTATATTTTAAGTATCTTTATTCCCTTATAGGATATTGTTTTGTTTTGTTTTGTTGAGACGGGGTCCTGCTATATAGTTCAGGCTGGCCTTGAACTCACTATGTAGACCATGCTGGCCTCAAACTCACAACAATCCTCCTGCCTCAGCCTCCCCAAATGCTGGGATTATAGAAGTCCACCACCATGCCCTCCCTTCTTATAGGACATTCTTGAATACATTCTTTTACCATCTAGCCAGTTCTCAAATGTTACTGGTGTATTTTTTTCCTATTATATATTTATCATAGCATTCCTTCTGCTCCCATTACATTGTAACCCCTAGACCACCTACTCATACCTGTATGCCTCAGTTAGCTTTTGCTGGGTAGTAACACCCCGCCTTAAAACATAGTGGCCTTGAACAACCACCATTTATTTATTCTGCAATACTGTTACTAGTTCATTCAGTGCATCCGCAGCCAGTTGGGTGGCTGCTCCAGATGGCCTCATCATCCAGCAAACTAGTCTGGGCTCATTCACATGGGGCAAAACAAGTCCAAGTGCAGCAAACCTCTATTCTTATCACCTTTGCTAACAGTGACTTACATAGCCAACCCTGATCCAGTGGGTGAGGGAATAAATAAACTGCCTTTTGGGGAGAGGATCTGCCTTGTCACACTGCAAGGCCATGAACGGAGGGAGAATCATTGTTACCGAATTACCACATCTCTTCCTTGTGAGCTTTGCGGACTAGGTTCCTATTGCTCCAACATCTCCTCCTTCCTGCTGCCACATTCATTTTTCCTTAAATAGTGTTCCGTAAACATCATGTTACTTCTCTGTTCACAACTCGCCAAAGGCTCTCCCCACCCACCTCTATCCCTTAGCCAAAATAAACTCTTCTGCCTAGCTTTCAGAGACCTCCATGGCTGGCCCGACCTAACAGTAGAGGCTGTAGTACAAGAGAATAGAACTAGCTATAGTTGAGGAGGCTTGTAAGCTAACCCCAGCTTGGTTACTAACAATTTTTTTTGTGGGGGGGGGCGGGGGCGGCATACTACTAGGGATTGAACCCATAGCCTTCATACCGAGCCATACATGTCGCCAGCCCTGCCACCTGGCCCCTCTTTTTTTGAGACAGGGTCTCACTAAGTTGCTAAATTACCCATTCTGGGCTCAAACTTGTGATCCTCCTGCCTCAGCCTCCTAGAGTGCTGGGATTACGGACATGCACTGTCATGCTCAACTACCATCAAACATTTGATTTAACTACTCTGAGCTTCTATTCATCTGGATTAAATCTGTGAGGTTCTTTTCAGATTTATGATTTTGCCTGAGTATACCTATTACTCCATAAATAAGTGCTAACTATAATCATACCACGCTTCTGATTTTGCCATAGGACATACCATGCTTACATAGCTCTGTGCTTTCATCCCCATGTTTTCTCAATCTACCATTACTCTTTGTTTTTTTTTACTGCTCATTTTAAATTCTGCCCATCCCATGTCCTTGTTCATTTCTGCCATCCAAGTTGGCACTTAACTTTATCTGTGGTATAATTCAGTGTTTCAGTGGCTGATTTTATCAATTAGATTGTAACCTCTTTGGGGGAAGAGATGGTATTTTATACATCAGCTAAACTCATAGGAGGTTAAGCCTTCATTTCCATCCTAGGTCATAGAAAATAGGATCAAACTGAAAACTTTTAAGACAAGTAGAGGATAAGAGTGCTTGGGCAGAGGTGGTGGAGGTTTTGGAAAGGAAGGTACTTTATCAGATGTACCCAAGGTGGTGTATACTTACCAGCCTGGTGGCCTTTAGAGTATATCTACAAATCTTTTTGCAGTTATTTACAATTTTTTTTCACAATCCATTTCTCCAACCATCCTGTGACCCTGGTTCTCCTCTGTTTATTTCCTACAGTTTTCATCCTTTTCTTCTGTAAGCTGTCACCATGACCTTGACAAAAGGGTCCTTCACCTACTCCAGTGGGGAGGAATATCGTGGCGAGTGGAAGGAGGGTGAGAAGGATCTTTGGGGGTATCCAGTAATGAATACCTCATTTAGCTAAAGGAAAATGCATTAGGATAGATAGCCAACTTTTTGGATCTTCATTTCCCACTGCAGGACTCAAATCTATATAGTGCCTTTCCTTTATTCTGTTTTAAGATTAAATAAAGAAATTAGATAACACTGGTGTTAATCCAGCCTCCAGAAATGAGCTAAGTCTTTCCAGTTCTAGATTTGCAGTGTTTTAACATCCTTTCATTCTTTCATAATATTGTTTGGGAATCTCTTAAATGCTAAGGTACCCAGCAGAGCAAAATGAATTCTTTTAGAGTGCAGAATTCATTATAATATCTTGGTCACAGTGAATTTTAGGAAGTTAAAGATGATCTGGCAATTAGGGTAAAGACTCAAGAGCAAATGGCATTCATTGCTTTGAATTTTCTATGCCAGCTCATTGTATTTGGAAATATTCATAGGAATAGTGAAATTCTTCCTAAAACTATACAAGAAGCAGTTTAATGATGTTCACTTTGGAAAAGCAGTGTGACCACTTTGAAATGAATCTAGTCCTGTTAAGCCAGGAGCCGCCCTGAAGGAGACTGGACTTCTGCGCTGGCACAAGTGAAGGGGAGTTCATGCTGTAAATAAGTACACACCCTGGTCGGTTCCATTGGATCCCTGCAGCTGGTAAACACTGGAGCCTTGAGAAACTGTGCATTTGTGACCTTGCTTCCTTTCATCCTAAGCCTTTTCTCCTACCCACACACACCTGCTATCCGCTTTAATATGGCTTTCTAGAAGAAAGACATCCTGAGGCCCTGCCAGGCATCTTGAATCTGCCCACCAAAAGAACTTCCTCACACTCTATATGAAGGACATGATTGCTCCCCCAGCTTCTTGCTGAGGTTTCTGGTCAGCTTAGTGAGTAAGCACAGCCTTACTAATGAATCAGAGCTCCTTTCCTCCATTTCCCCCGTTTATCTTTTATTTTTTGGTACCAGGGATCGAACTCGGGTCCTTGTGCTTGCGCAGCAGGCAATGAAACTTTTTCTTCTTTTTTGAGACAGGGTCTCACTATGTAGCTCAGATTGGCCTTGAACTCACTATGTACCCCTGGCTGGCCTCGAGCTTGCAGCAATGCTCCTACCTCCACTTCCCAAGGGCTGAGATTACAGGTGTGCACCACCACACCTGGCTTCCCCATCTGTTTAGTGGAAATGATAATACTGCTGTCCCTACCTCATACAGTTGTCATAAGGATTAAATAGGATGACAGATAAAAAGTGCTTAGAAGAGTGGTTGACACATAAGGGCATTATAAATGTTAGCTATTGTTATTTTATATATATATATATTTTTTAATTTATTGATTTATTTATTTTTTGGTACCAGGGATCAAACTCAGGAACTTGCGCTTTCGAGGCAGGCAGCAGAACCACTGAGCTAAATCCCCAGCCCTTTATTTTAAAATTTTATTTATTGATTGCTTGTGTGGCACTAGAGAATGAACCCAGGGCTCTACTATACCTCCAGCCCCTAACTTGTTATTTTAAAAACTGTCTTATCATTCATACTTGAAGAGACCTGCTCAAAATCTGATGATTGTGACTTAACAATGGGAGGTACCAGGAGCCAACTTTTATTGGTGCTTGACTCTGCCCTGCTAATGCCATCACTTCTTTTCTTTTGTGGGTAGGGTGATAGAAAATATGGGATGTTTGGGCCGGGGATTTAGCTCAGTGGTTCTGGCGCCTGCCTTGCAAGCTGAGGACGCGAGTTCAATCCCCGGTACCAAAAAAAAAAAAAAGAAAAAGAAAATAAGGGATGCTAGGCAAGTGAGAAAGCACTGCCCCATTCCAACCTAGTACCTGTCCTTCTCTTTGCTCAGGCCGCAGACATGGCTTTGGTCAACTGCTGTTTGCAGATGGTGGCACCTACCTGGGTCACTTTGAGAATGGGCTTTTTAATGGCTTTGGAGTACTGACCTTCTCAGATGGCTCAAGGTGAGTATTAGATTATTCCTTTCTGTCTTTAAACTAGGGAGGCTCTGATATAAAAATGGGACATTGATAAATATCTGGTCAACCCTGAGCTTCTCCTAGGCTCTAAAGAAAACAGACAAGGAGTAAACAGCTTATTGGTTACCTTTTAAGTAGATCTAAAATTTGAAATGTCAAGAAGGTAAGTGACCTTCCACCAGCCTCCTTTCACTTAGCCTACATACTCTCTGACTTTTCTCTGCTGGTTGGGAAGGGAGTGGATAGGGTGGGGGAGCTCTGAGCTAAGAATTAGCTTTGCTCTGTGGCATTATTAACTGACACATACTGTCAGCTGTTTGACTTAGTTAACCAGGACAGCTAACTTGCCCAGAAGAGGCTAACATCTTGGTGTTTCTGCAGGTATGAGGGGGAGTTTGCCCAGGGCAAATTTAATGGCGTGGGAGTCTTCATTCGACAAGACAACATGACCTTTGAGGGAGAATTTAAAAATGGCAGAGTAGATGGTTTTGGTAAGTTGCAGCCCAGCAGGATGGGTGATGGGAACATAATATGGGTGGAAATATGTCTTTTAGTTTTAATTCTCCTGTAGCTGTCTAGCAGTCTATAGTGATCATGCCCTAATCCACTGAACTCATTGAGTACTCCTGAGAAAAACTGCGAGTTTTTGTCTTCTTCAGCCATCTCTGAGACATTAATTCCATTGTCATATTTTCCTCCTGAAAGGCCTGCTCACTTTCCCTGATGGTTCTCATGGAATACCCCGTAATGAAGGTCTCTTTGAGAACAACAAGCTGCTGCGGCGTGAGAAGTGTTCTGCAGTGGTCCAGCAGGCCCAAAGTGCCTCCAAGTCAGCTAGAAATCTCACTGCCTGAGGGGGCATTGGGCTCAGCTGGACAAGTGTCAGGTAAACCCAGTGCTCCCATTGTTCACTTGCAGTGAACAAATGAACCAGATCTGAGATGAAATGAGAAGAGAATAACTATGGAGCCGAGCCTGTGATATGCTCCTTCACCTGCTAACCAAGAATTTGATCACAGAAAAGTGCTGAGGAGTTTGACCCAAACAGCAGCAGTTGGAAACCGTTCTGTCTTTCCCTGACCCTCACGTATAGAGAACAGAGGAGCCAAATTTTCTTATTTATTGGTTTTCCCCCCTGTTTCTAAAACTTCAGCTTCTTAGCACAGACCTGCTGCAGCCCTCACTCCATTTGCTGCCAGGTTTGTCTTCATTTTGCCTGCATTTGGGGCAGCTGATCCTAGCCCCATCTTAGAGCTAGTGCTCTCTGCTGTCCTGGAAAAATAAGGAAGAAGATGGAGTGGCTTAGACAGTACAGGAGCCCTGTGAAAGTCAAGGTCAGAGCTTTCTTTATGTTACCCCCTTGTTCACTGCAGTGGGTTTCTGGCTCCAGGCTCCCACTTTGTCTGCTCAGACTGGTCTTCATCTGTGCTTATTTGCCCCATGAAGGATTGGATAATAGTGCTATTTTCTTCCCCCTTCACTTTACAAGCTGTCTTCCTTACCTGAGTTATGGCAGATAATCCAATCTGCCCCTCTCCTATTTGTGCCTCTCTCCTTTCTTGTACATCAGATAGATCCCTCTATGGGATAATCAGGAAAGAAAGTGATATAAGGATAATCTTACAACATGTATTCATTACTCACCCTAGGACAAGGGGCAAACATAGCCAAACCACTTCAGGCCCTCCCATAGAGATACCTGAATCCCACAGAAGGCTTATACCAATAGTTTTTTTTCCCAGAGGGTCAGCACCCGTTGGTTGTAGGTAGACTTGGACCCATCCTGGGGCCACAGTGAACTAAAAGAATATTGGCTCCTCACAACTGGCTGACTCTTCCTCCAGAAGCCATGGCCCTCCGGCCTGGGTCAGATCTTGGCAAGTAAGATCCCTACGCAGTTCATGAGGCCTCCAGTTACCCTGGAACCTGAATACGCGCCCCCAGTTCTCATCCTCACACCGAATCTCCCTCAGCAGCAGACTATGTGGAAATTATAGCCGTGTGCCTCTACTTATTTGAAGTGTACTGTAGAAACAAGTGTTTATAAGACTAAGAATAAACAAATAACCAAAACTGCCTATTCATAGTTTTCATGACTTTCCTCAGAATATCAGCCCATTTGCTATTTCAAAAAATTAATCAGAGTGGCACTGTCTGGAACTGACACTGACATGTGCCCCTTACTATAAAATGGCACCTGATTCCTACAGCCTCTGTAGAGTAGAAGGCATACCTTTTTTTTTTTAAATCAGACTCCCCTAGACTATATTCCTTCTCATTCAGTTCCCTTTTCACTGGACTTCTTTCACCCTGAGTATCACTGAGATCAGTTATTGCCAGTCCTGCTGATGACCATAGGCAAGTCTGTGCCTGTCTCTAACAAAATAGAGTAGAACATCACCTACCATGTAGCCCATTCACATGCACGATCTTACTCAATCCTCATTCTGCCCTTGGGAGAAAGATGTATTATCTCCATATTACAGATGAGGCTCAGAGAAATTAGTCACTTCCCCAGTGTCCTTCAGGCATGAAGGCACAGATCAGATCCTAGAATTTAAACCCAGGTCTTGAAGCCTAGAGGCTAAACTCTTAACCAGTATAATAATCTGCCTCCCGGGTCCTAACTTTCCCTCTGCCCTAACTCTGATTCTCCTCTGAGCCCAGCTTCTCTGGAAGGTGCTTGTGAGAAGTCAGTGGCCAAGTTCCAAGCTTTGGTGTCATTAGATGCCCAATTTCAGTTGCAGGTTATCTTTTATAGTCTCCTCCACCCTAAATAAGAATTTATTTACCTTTCTTTTTACCTCTCCCCCACCCCTAGCACTGGGGGTTGAACTAGAGCCCTTGCACTGAGCTACATCCCAGTCCTTTTTATTTTTTATTTTGAGATAAAGTCTTTCTAAATTGTCTATCCTGAGTTTGAATTTGCAATCTTCCTGCTTTAGCTTCCTAGAGTGCTGGGATTACAGGTTTGCACCACATGCCCAACTTACTTTTTTTTTTTTTAATGGTACCAGGGATCAAACTCAGGACCTTGTGTTTTCGAGGCAGGAGGCAGAACCACTGAGCTAAATCCCCAGCCCTATTGTTGTTTTTTGAGAAAGTGTCTCACTATGTTCTAAGCTAGCCTCAAACTTGCCATGTAGGCCATGATGGCCTTAAACTCATAGTCCTCCTGCCTCAGCCTCCCTAGTGCAGGGCTACAGACATGTACCACCAAGTCCAGTTTACCTTTTTAAAATTTTTATTCATTTGTTAAAACTTTTTTTTTTGGAGACAGGATCTTACTATGTAGTTCAGACTGGCCTTAAATTCACTATGTAGCCCAGGCTGCCCTTGAACTTGTGGCAGTCTTCCTCCTTCAGCCTCCCTAGTGCTGGGGTAACTTTTTTTTTTGGTACCAAAAATCAAATTGAGGACCTTGTGCTTACAAGGCAGGCACGGTGCCACTGAGCTAAATCCCTAGCCCAACTTTTCTTTTTCTTTTTTTTTTTTTCATAAAGCTTATTGGTCCATTGTAGGTATACAAATACATTTACATTCATCATTGGGATCTTGTACCTTTACATGGTGTATCTTGGTTATTTTTTCCCCATTTCCCCTGCCTTCCCTTCACCCCCTCCACCCTTGCCTATTTACAAAGATTTTGTTTCCATTTTTTCCTTTTCTCATATTTTTTCTTTTCCTTCTTTCCCCTACCCCTCCCACTTCCCCTACTCCTTTAGACCTTTTCTTCCTGTTTCACATTATCAATTATACATTTTGATCCTTATTTACACTTTTAATTTTTCACACCAGAAAAACTATTCAGTATTTACACGTGTGTCTTATTTATTTCACTTAAGAGTATAGCCTCAATGTGCATCCATTTAGCAATAAATGTCTCTAGTTTCTTGTTCTTTATGGGTGAGTAGTACTCCATTTTATAAAAAAACCACATCTTTATCTGTTCTCTAGTTGATGGGCAATTGGGCTGTTTCCATGTTTTAACTATTACAAACTGTGGCGCTATGAACATGGGTGTACATATATCGCTGTGGTATGATTCTTTTAATTCTTTTGGGAAGATACCCAGCAGGGGAATAGCTGGGTCAAATGGGACCTCTAATCCTAGTCCAACTTTTCTTTTAATGAATAATATCTTTTAAAATTATGTCAGTTTTTCTGCCACTGGTCACATATTACTACTGAAAAGCGTTAAACATTTTGGAGGAAGCAGCCTCTTTAACTCACATGCTAAGTGTTGCACAGTTTGACCTCTATAGTCTCCCATTCGAAAGCCTTTCCCAAGCCCCCACAATCTAATGGCTCTTTGCTCACTATTGTTAGGGCCTCTCTCAGCTTCTATCAGAGCTGGAAAAAGGCAGACCATGAGAGCTCCATTACCTCTAAGAGTATTCTTGATATCTGTCTGGCCTGGAAATCTGGTACATAACCACACTAGTTTTACTTCTGAAACTTTATTGTAGTAACAACATGATTATTTTTAATAAGAAACAGAGTGCTTACAGACAAAGATGGCTCTGTCTCATGCAAAGTCCCCTTCCTCGGGTGTTTCAGACCTGGGCAGGTTCAATTAATCTTCTAGAATGCAGACCAGGTGTTTATCCACCAGGTGTCATTATTTACCAGTCTCACAAGCCACTGGGCTGTCTTTGTGCACTGAATGGTGAGAAAGCTAACAACAAGACTAAATAAAAATAGATTTAGGAAAGGACATTGTGTCTGAAATGCAATTTGGGCCTTCCAAAGACCAACAACATTTTCCTGATCAGATTTCCTAACCTGCTGCATCCTCTGGAAGGAGTCAGAACTTTTGTTTTTCAGAATAGCCCTGATTTCCAGCTGCATCATGCTAGACTCAGGCCTGTAGCTCCAAGTCTTAAGTAGTCATCCCTTCAGTATCCAGTTCCCTATGGCCCTATTGCCCCTCTCACCTTTCCCTCAGCTCCCAAGTTTCTGGGCCTTGGGGGCAGAGGAAAGCATCCACAGTACAGAGGCGAGTAAGAGATTGCTTCTTCCTACTCTGCTAGTCCCAGGGACTGAGCATCTAGGACATAAATGTGAGAAGTCACAGACTAGCAAATGTGAGCAGGGGAGATTGCACAGGGCTGCCTGGTAAAAGGCCACCTGAAGGAGTAGAGGGGGAAAGATACTCCTGACCCTTCCCACATGCTCCTCTTCATTCTTCAGGCTGTGGGAGCAAGGGGAGACTGAGAGGGCTCAGACCAGGTATGCCCTGCTTGCCTTCAGAGCCAGCCATTGCTGCTGAAATCCACACGCAGGGCCTCCTCATCGGCAGAGCTCAGCCCCTGCAGGGGAGCACGACAGGGGCCTCCATAGTAGCCAAACCAGTCCATGGCTTTCTTCAGCCCTGGGATTCCAAAGCGTCGGGTCACCTAAGGAGGAAGACCTGTTATAAGAGATTGCAGAACCCTCTGCATATACCTACCTAGAACCCAGACATCTGTCACTTTTAGAAATTTGGAGTTTCTACCTCTACCCCCAGTGAAGGAACTCTACCAAATCTGTAGCACCCAGGGTAGATTGGAGTCCAGATTTATAGACCAGAAAGCAGGTCAGTAATAGTAAAGTGCAAAAACCTCAAATTGAGAAGGAAACCTGCCTCTGTTGGTTTTAGGGGAAAAAGGTACCCCAACAGGAAAGAGAAATTCAGCCCTCGGGCTGGGTAGAAGGGAGCAAGTTCTAGGTACCACAACATCATGTCTTTAGCCTGGTTCCCTAGAACTTTTGCCAGGACACTGCAGGATTAGGAAGTCAGGAGACCAAATCTCTGACAATCTCAGGTACAGCCCCTTACTCCCCTGACATCAGGGTCCCTCACTCACTGATAGCTCCTCCTCACCCTGTTTAAATGCTCTCATGGGAAAAATTGCATCATTATTCAAATAAGTTTTGTTGTTTAACTGTATGTCGTGTTCTTATTATTTCAGCTGGTTTTCTTGTCCAAAAAGTGAGAGGGTCAGACAACATGATATGTAAAAGCTTGTCTAGTTTAGTGGAAGACCTAAAGCTATTGTATAATTTAAAATCATGCATGGAATTTTACAGAATAAATGAAGGATCAAGCTTCTTTGTTTTTGATACAGCAACTGGTTATTTCATACTGATCAGAAGTGTTAGATGAATCTTTCCCTAACTAAAAACTAGAAAAGAAATCATTACTTATTAAAATTTTATTTGGAGGGAAGCTTAAACCTTAGAAATATGGACTTCATGAAAGGTAAAAATAATGAAGTTGTTTGGGGTAGGAAGGTATGTTGGGAATCAGTAATGAATTACCAGTAACTATTCACTGCTAGAGACCAGTGGGCTTTTTTTAAATCACTGATTTTTAAAAATTTGTATTAGTAGCTGGGGATTTAGCTCAGTGGTTTCGCCGCCTGCTGCGCTAGCGCAAGGACCCAAGTTTGATCCCCGGTACCAAAAAGAAAATTTGTATTAGTATATGTTTACAGTACGTAATGGGGAGTTGGTACATGTATATAACACATCTTAGTTCTTTCTACTTCCCTCCCTTCCCCTCCCTTCCCTCCATCTCTTATTCCCCTTCCACCAGCAGGCTTTAGTAAGCCTGGACTTTTGTTCTTGGAATGGGTCATAGCTCACCCTCCTTCCAGGCCTAGTCCCACCCATGATACTCTAATAGCCTGGTTTTTTTTTTTACCCCAAATCTCTAGAGATTGGAAATACCTAGGGAAGGGAATAAAACCAAGTGGTACCAAGAGAAAAGCTTATTCCTTCCATAGGTTTGTAAAGATTGCTTCAGACCCTGACTGTTTTGGTGGTAGTCTAGAAAATCCTAAATATAGCTGGAGGCTGGCTGGGTGGGAAGGTAGAGGAGGGACATTGTGTTCAACCAGGGCAGAGCAGTAAGAGTGACATCAGACTGCTCTTGGGGTGTCTGAGCCTACAGCCCAGGCAGCAGCAAGGTGTTCCAGGCATTCCTGAGTGTGTGCCCACCCAGAGCTGGCACAAGAGGGCACTGAATGCAGAGTGAGGCAGAATGGGGTAAAGCACAGAGAGCTTGGAGAGCAGTGAGGCTTCCTGTCTTTCCAGGAACAGCCCAAGCTGCTTGTCTATAAAATGAAGTGATAAGTACACCTATCCATAGAGATGTCACAAGGATCAGATGAAAACACCACTAACATGAAAGCAATCCCCGGGGCCCTGAAAGTACCATCTCCTCTTGTCCTGGTGGGATATAGATCCTGGGACCTTCTCTTTCACAGGTGGATGGGAGTGGGAGAGCTGAGGCCCTGCAATGTGGAATGTGCAGTTGTTCAGAGTTACCTATGCCCCTCTGGGCTTAGTTGAAAGTCCCTCAATTCAGCAAGTTCTTTTAAGCTATTTATAGTGCCTGATCCTAGGAGAAGCTACACATCCAGGAAGACTCATGCTTTCCCCTCAGCTGTCCTTTCTCTAAAGCTGAGCTAATCTGCCTCTTTGAGTTAAGGACACAAGCTGTGAGGGAGGCCTAGAGCCCACTCACCAATTTATCCAGACAAAGCACTGTTGAAGAACTCAGCCGTGTGTAGCCTGGTCTATGGTGAGGCCAGCAAGTACTAGTCTTAGATATAAAATTTAAGGAGAAGCAAAAAACCCTCAATAATCAAGATAAAAATATGTCAAAGAAATATTTTTTTAAATCAAAATTAATGCAAACATCCATCATGAGCAGTTTTAAAGAGAGCATTCAACAGAGCCCCACCCTGCCACATTAGCCTGAGTCAACAGTTAACGCGTGTCCCTATATGTATGCCTTTTGTATTTAAAAAAAATTTTCCATAGAAGTATATTTTGGGAAAAAAACATTTTAATGAGTTTTCTTTCAGTAAAGCCAGGAAAGTAAATTTATATAGATTGTGTTTTTGGTATACATAAAAGACTTAAACCTAAAATAATACTGTGAGGTTTTTTTGTTTGCTTGTTTGTGTGTGTGTTTGTTTTGGTTTTGTGGTACTGGGGATTGAACCCAGGACCTTCACACTGAGCTATATCCCCAGCCCTTTAGAAACCTTTTTATTTCAAGACAGGAGCTTACTGAGTTACCCAGGCTATGCTCAAACTTTCAATCCTCTTGCCTTGACCTCCCAGAGTGCGAGATTCCAGGCCTGCACCACCACATCCACCTCCTGTTTTTATACCCACAATATATTTTTTCAACTACTTTAATGTATGGGGGTGGATTTACCATTTGGAAAATACTTAAGAGTTTTCACTTTCAGGAAGATAGAGTAAATGTACTTACCCTATTCTCCCCAATAAATACAACTAAAAAGCTTGGACATTATATAAAACACAGAGATAAGACTCTGTAAGGTAACAAGAAGGAGACCAACCAGGGACCTCGGGCCACAAGGAACAACACAGTGGTGAGCCCTTGGCCCAGACGTGGAGCTAAAGCCAACAACCATGAAATGCCAGTGGACACACTATAACAGTCCCAACAGGGCTGAGGATTTAGCTCAGTGATTCTGCTGCCTGCTTCACAAGCGCAAGGATCTGACTTCGATCCCCAGTACCAAAAAAAAAAAAAAAGTCCCAACAAAAGCCAGTTCTGGGGCCGGGGATTTAGCTCAGTGGTTCCAGCGCCTGCCTCGCAAGGGCAAAGTCCTGAGTTCGATTCCCGATACCAAAAAAAAAAAAAGCCAGTTCTCTCTGTCCAAAAGACCAGGAAAGGAAAAATCTAGCATAACAAGATGTAAAAGTTTTAGATAATAATCACTTTAACTCCAGCCAAACACCATGGAGTAGACAGTGGCCCCCACTACCCAGGCCAGCAAGGGCTGAATAAAGAAGCCTGAAGTCTCACCCTGTTCCTATTCCCAGCTGGATGCTGTCAGAGGAGGGCCGGTGGAGGAGAGTCAGGACTCTTACCACTGCGCCCCCTTAAAGAGGCCACCACTGGCCATCCACTGCTCCCCTCACTAACGCCTCCACCTGATACTTAGTGATGTTGGTGGAAGCCACATGGAGAGCAGTAAGGAAGCATTCTCCCCTCCAGCCAGGGAGGTGTCAGTAGAAGCCTATCTCTAAAGCCTAGTGTTTGTTTTTGAGGTGCTAGTGATCAAACTGAGGACCTCCTGTATGCTAGGCAAATGCTCCACCACTAAGCTACATCCCCAGCCTGAGAAGTGTAAATTTTTTTTTTAACTCATGAAGAAGAAATCTTCAGTCCCCAATAGTTTCAACTGAAGAATTCTACAAAATATTTTAAGATTTAATACCAATTCTAGTCTCTTCCAGAAAATAGAAGAGGAGAGAATACTTGCCAATTCATTTTGGGAAGCTGTTGTTATCCTGATACCAAAGTCAGAAAAGAAAGATAAAGAACCACACATGGTGGCATGCACCTATGCTCCCAACACTTGGGAGGCTGAGGCAGGAAGCTTGCCAAGAGTTTGAGGTCAGCTTGTGCTACATAGTAAATTCAAGGCCAGCCTGAACTACATGTCAAGAGCCTGTCTCAAAAGAAAAAGAAAAAAAAAGAAGGAAGGAAGAAGTGACTAATATTCCTCATGAATATAGAACACAAAAATCCTTAACAAAACATTAGCAAATAAAATTCAGCAATACATCAAAAGAATTATGTGCCATCACTAAATGAGATTCATTCCAGAAAATCAAATCTGTGTCAAATATTTGAAAATTAATATAATTACCATATTAATATTAACAGGGTAAAGAAGGTAGTCACATGATCATATCTATCAATACAGAAAAACATTTGACAAAATTCAACACCCATTCGTGACTTTTTTTTTGGTACCAGGGATTGAACTTGGGTCCTTGCGGTTTTGGGGCGGGTGGCAGAACCACTGACCTAAATCCCCGGCCCATGACTTTTAAAAATTTAGAAAACTAGGAATAGAGAGGAATTTGTTCAACTTGATAAAAAGAATTTACAAAAACTTAAAGCTAGAAATAGACATATGGTATGATTATCTATATAGGAACTGCAAGGAATCTACCAAAAATACACTCCTAGAGGGGCAGGGGATTTAGCTCAGTGGTGCCGCCGCCTGCCTCACAAGTGCAAGATCCCGAGTTCGATCCCTCATACAAAAAACAAAACAAAAAAAACACTCCTAGAACTAATAAGTGAGTTCAGCAAAGTCACAAGATATACAATAAACATTCAAAACAAAAAAAATCAATTTTGAGCCAGGCATGGTGACACATGCCTATAATCCTAGCACTTGGAAGGCTGAAGCAGGAGGATCTTGAGTTCAAGACCAGCCTGGACTATATAGCAAGACCGTGTCTCAAAAAAAAAAGTCAATTGTGTTTTAAATACTAGTGATGGTGGTTACTGAATTTCATATGGATAATAAAATTAAAAATATATTATTTTCAATCACTCAAAAAATATGAACTACATAGGTATACATTTCTCAAACAGAAGTTTTCCCAAAACTACAAAATACTGAAGAAAATTTTTAAAACAGTGATCTAAGGGCCGGGGATTTAGCTCAGTGGTTCTGCTGCCTGTCTCGCAAGCATGAAGACCCGAGTTCGATCCCCAGTACCAAAAAAAAAACAAAAACAAAACAGTGATCTAAATAAATAGACATTACCAAGGGCCAGGATGTAGCTCAGGCACCTGCCTGGCAAGCCCAAGGTCCTGAGTTTGATACCTGGTACCGAAAAAAAAAAAAATAGACATTACCTGAACAAGGATTGGAGGATGACAGTAAAGATGACAACCATCCTCATACTATATACCACTTTAACACAATTCCTATTAAAATTCATCAAAATATTTTTTGTATAGACAAGACAATTCTAAAATATGTATGGAAGGCAAAGGAATTAGACCAACTAACACAATTTTTTTTTTTTGGTACCAGGGATCAAACTTGAGTCCTTGCGCTTGCGCAGCAGGCGGCGAAACCACTGAGCTAAATTCACGGCCTGAACTAACACAATTTTGGCAAGAAAAAAAACCTTCTTTTAAGACTTTTATATAGGGGCTGCAGATTTAGCTCAGTGGTTCTGCCACCTGCCTTGCAAGCGCAAGGACGCAAGTTCGATCCCCTGTACCAAAAAAAAAAAAGACTTATATAGCTACAACAATCAAGTCAGTGGTACTGTAGAGGAATAGACATATCGATCAATGAGAAGAGAGAATCCAGAAATAGACCCACACAAATATGCCCCACAGATTTTTGACAAAAGTGCAAAAGCAATTCAATAAAGGAAAGACACCTTTTTCAACAAAGGGTGCTGGAGCAAGTGGGTGTTCATAGGCAAAAAAAACCCACACACACACAAAAAGACAAACTAAGACCTAAGTCTCACACTTGTTTTTGTTTTTTTTTGTTACCGGGGATTGAACTCGAGACCTTGTGCTTGCGAGGCAGGCGGGGGAACCACTGAGCTAAATCCCCAGCCCAACTCTCACACTTTATATAAAAAATTAACTCAAAATGGGTCACAAACATGTAGAATAAAAAACCATCAAACTTTGAGGAAAAAAAGTAAAATTTCATGATCTAGTGGTAAGCAAAGAATTTTTAGACTTGATACCAAAAGCATCATTCATTTTTAAAAAATGATAAATTGGACTTCATCAAAGCTTAAAAATTTGCTTGGTTAAAAAAAACCTATAAAGAGAATGAAAAGATAAGCTACAGACTGGGAGGAAATATAAATCACATATCTAACAAAGGACTAGTATCTAGAAGATACGAAGTTTTGTTCAGAATGAACCAATGTGAGGGTAGAATTTCACATATAGAAGATAAGATTGCAATTAGTGAGGAGGAAAAGAAAAATTGCTTTAAAATTGTAAGGGAACATGAGAAATCAATCCAGCAGCTGCTAGACGATGCAAAGAAGAATAACATAAGACTTTTTTAGATTTTTCAAGACAAGGTCTCCCTCTAATTCAGGTTGGGCTTGAATTCACTATGTATCGCAGGCTGGCCTCAAACTCCCAGTGATCCTCATGCCTCAGCCTCTGAAGTGCTGGAATTACAGGCATGCACCACCACACCTAGCCAAAGAACTTTCAAAACTCAGCAATAAAAAAACCAATCCAGTTAGAAAATAATCAAGGGAAAGACAAGCCCATTGAGGCTATACCTTGCAGTGTAGCTTGATTGTAAAGTACAAGTTTAGCATGCGCAAGGCCCTGGATCGGATCCCCCAGCACCAAAAAAAGAAAAAAAAAATGGGCAAGAGACAGATATTTGAGTGAAAAGAATATGACAAATTAACACATTAAAAGATATTCAGTATTAGCCATCAGGAAATGCAAATTTAAACCACAATAAGATGTTACTACATCCTATCAGAATGGCTCAAATAAAAAAGGCATACATTTACATCAGTGTAAATATAAAATGATACAGTCACTCTGGAAAACAATTCAGCAGTTTCTTAAAAAGCTAAACATACTGAGTGTGGTGGCACACACCTGTAACCCCAGCACTCATGAGGCAGGCTCGGGAGTCGGAGGCCATGCTGTAAGCTGGAGGCCAACCTGAGCTACATAGTGAGTTCAAGACTGGCCTGAACTACACAGGAAGACCCTGTCTCAAAAAAAACTAAACATGCAACCAACCATCATACCACCTATAATCACACTGTTGGTATTTATCCCAGGAAAAGTATAGTCACACAAAAACCTGTACACAGATGTTCATGGCAGCTTTTTTTTTTTGGTACCAGGGATCGAACTCGGGTCCTTGTGCTTGCGCAGCAGGCGGTGAAACCACTGAGCTAAATCCCCAGCCCTCATGGCAGCTTTTAATAGCCAAAGATGGGAAACAACCCAGCTCCCCTCAATGGGTGAATGTTTAAACAGGTGTGGTATAGCCATTCCATAGAATACTACTCAGCAACTAAAAGGAATTACTATTTTTTTTTTAAGGAATTACTATTGATCTTACAACCTAGATAAATCTCGGATTCCAAAAGTTACATACTATATGTTTCCATATAGTATAGTCTTGAACTGACAAAATTATAAAAATGGTGAACATATTCAGGTTACCAGGAGTTCAAGGGGGTGGGTATAGGGCTGAGTAGGTATGGTTATAGGAGGGTAACATGAAGGATCCTTGTGGTGATGACAGTAATATATATATGTCTTGGCTATATCAATGTCGGTGTCCTAAAGCCTATCCAATAAGGTAAAATTTTTCTATAAATGTACCATGTAAAATGCTACCACGGGGGGGGGGGAGTTAGGAAATTAATGCCTGTATTATCTCTCACAACTGCATATGAATCTATAATTATCTCCAGATAAAAAGTTTAACTTTGTGTATGTGTGTGTATATATATATATATATATATATATTTTTTTTTTTTTTTTCCCTTCTGTTTGCCTCAGACTTCAAAATGTCTTTGATCTTGATAAGCATTCTGGGTTGCTTTTGTTTTGTTTTGTCTCCCCCACCCCAATGTTGAGGATTGAACCCAGGGCCTCATACATGATAGGAAAGCACTGTACTACCACTGAGCTACATACCCAGCCAGCATTCTCCCTTAAGTTCTTTTCCTTGATTTGCCCAACATAGAACTGTGGTACATGGTCTGACTGTAGCATGGATTATTTGAAGATAGAATTGTGCTAGAAAATATGGACTTGAATATCTTCAGCCTTCAAGCTCCTCCTAATCATTTTGATTTTCAGGATCTGGCTCCTTGAGAGCTGATTTAAAAGGCCCACAGTTTACTCTGTAGGTAGTCATCTCTCAGGACAGTCCCAGGATTACTTATGTCACAGTCACTGGGGAGGCTTGTTTCAGTGCATATTTAAAGGACCAGGACTTTATCCCCCACAGGGATTCTAATTCATACCGAAGCTTAAGAACCAACTGGCTCAACTTTGTCTGCAGCCAAGATTTTCTGGAGAGGCATAAGGCATTCCCACACTGAGATATTCTTTTTTTTTTTTTTCGATATGGGGATCAAACTCAGGACCCTGCGCTTGAGAAGCAGGCAGCAGAACCACTGAGCTAAAACCTGGGCCCTGAGATGTTCTGTAAAAGGACTTTGTGAAAGGGAAGGGACTGAACAGGGACCCTGTGCCAGCCCTGGCTCCCACTCCCCAGATGCCTTGGGAGCTTACCGCGGTGTTGGGCTCAATGAGGCGGAGCTGTAGCTTCTGGGCGGCCTCCCATTGACCTGTGAGGCAGAGTCGCTCCAGCTGGCATACCTGGGCTCCCAGGACATTGGCCAGGGCACACACGCCCCCCACAGCTCCTGCCCAGAGTAAGATACAGACTATTTTCCAGAGCCACTTCCCACAGGGAATCCCAAACCCTGGTCCCTGAACCTTTTCATCCTGGGACATAGGATATGAATTTCTATGCCACTGTTGACCATGTCAAAGTCATGCTCTATGAATCCAAGTGCACATTTATGGAGAGAAAAAGTTGCTTACATGTTCAAAATAGAATCCCACAGTCGGTCTGTGAAGAGCAGGGAAATGAGCCCAAAGGGCCTCCCTTGCCCTTCCAGAGTCAGGTCCTGGCTGCCCATTGACATCTCCAGTGTTTTGCCAGCTGCCCTCTGACTCATTAGTTCTGGAAGGGTAGGGAGTAGCTTCGAGCTTGTGCTCTCCTAAAACCTTTCCCCCTGGAGGAATTCACCCTGGCACAGTGGTGGGGGTGGGAGTGAGGAAGAGGAGTGGAGAGAGCTCAGGCACATGGTCAGAGACTGAGCATTTCCTCTTATTGGCTGCCTCATCTTGGATAAGTTTCAGGCCCTCTATAGTCCTCTTTGTTCTCATCTGGGTAGTGGAAATGTGTTGGTTGTGACCTCAGAAACCTCAGCCATCTCTGCCACCCATTGAGGGTAGTTGGGAATGACCCTAAGTACAGTGGCCTCTGGCCTGGAAAGAAAGTAGACAATTGGGAATGAGCAAATACAGTTACGATTTATAGAATACCTACTGTGTAGCAGGCGCTATGGCATACATGAGGCTGATGATCTCTAATCCTCACAGTACCTCTTTGGGCTCAGAGAGATTATGTGCATTGCCCCATGTTACTCAGTGAGTAAATGGCTAAGCTGAGAGTCCACCTCAGATATCCTCACCTCCAGGGTCTGTGCTCTTTCCATCTACCCCACTCTCAAGAAGGAGGTGGAAATGGGTCCCCTCTTCTCCTGTACTTTAGAGATTGTGACGTGGCAAAAGGGGTATGAGCAAAGACCTACCAACAAGCCAAAGTCTGCAGAGACCAGAGGGAATAGGAACCAGTGTTGTTCCCTGCAGTACTTTTGAACGAGTTCCATTCTGAGAGAACATTCATAAGTCAGATTCATTCACATTCCGACAAAAGTGAGTCATACAGTGCACTTGTGAATCTTACACAGTACACCTGTGAAAGTTCACAACTTGAACGTTCATAAGTCAGGGACTTTTTACACTGGAAAAGTCACTCAAAGCTAAACTCACTGGAGTTTTGGCTGAAGGGAGCAGATGCTGCCTCCATTTTTATACTCCAGGGTCCAAATCCCACCTGAACCCAAGGACCTTGACCCAAAGCACATGAGAGCATTTGGTATATGTGACATTACTAGGATCAAATCAGGCAGCTGAAGATCCCAGGTTTAGCTCTGCAGGTCTGACAGTGCATTCTGGTTTGGGATGGAGGGGGGCATGGTGGTGGTGGTGGTGGTGGAATAGGGTGGAATTCTCACCTTGAGGGGAGGCCTCAAGATCTCTGCCCCCAGAGACTGATTTACAAGGCGAGAGAAGAGGAGCTAATTTTTTTTTTGAGGCAAGGTCTCACCATGTAGTTCAGATTGGCCTTGAACTCACTGTGTACTCCAGGCAAGTCTCAAACTCATGGCAATCCTCCTGCTCAGCCTCCCAGTGCTGGGATCACAGGCATGTGCCACCACACCCAGCCTGGAAGAGCTATGTTTTTTCCCCCTCGGTAGTGGGGATTTAGCCCAGGGCCTTCACACTGAGCTTCATCTCCAGATCTTTTTCTACTTTTTGAGACATGGTCTCATGAAATCATCAAGTTGCCCAGGCTGGGATCAAACTTGCAATCCTGCCTCAGCCAGATGCATGTTCTGGGATCACAGGCATGCACTACCACCCCAATTTGGAGGAGCTAAATTTGTCATCTAAGCATGAACTTGAGGCTTAGAACAACCTGCAGGCATTCCTATTATAGCCCAGGGATTGTACAAGACCACCCTCCTGTACCCAACAAAGTTATTCATGAGTGCCCAGTGTCAGAAAAGAAAGCAGAGTGGGCAGCTTTCTAGGTAAGCATCCTCTGCAGATCTTGCCCTGGCCTTTCCAGCCTCTCCCAGCAGACCCAGCTGGCTGGGTGTATCTTGGCAACCCATGACAGTTGGAAAGCAGTGGGTAACCTACCCAAGGCATAGCTGGCCAGCAAGAAACCAACTGATCCAGCCAACACCTGGAAATCCTGCTTCCTGGTCTTGTGAACAATCAGCGCAATTCTAGTCACCTGCAACAGCAAACATGGTATGAGAGCTGGGCCCAGAGTTGCCCACCAGCCTGAACAGGCTAGACAAGTGCTACAGAATGAAAGCCCAGTTCCTAGAGAGAGGCTTGCAAGTTCAGACAAAGCCCAGAGAACCCACTCAATAGAGAGAGCCCTGGGGCTGGGGATTTAGCTCAGTGGTTTCACCGCCTGCTGCTCAAGCACAAGGACCCGAGTTTGATCCCCGGTACCAAAAAAAAAAAAAAAAATTAGAGCCCAAACAGGAACCCAGGACAGACACTGATCCCAGAGCTGTGCTGAAGCGGGTAGCTAATGCTAGGGCCCAGAGAAGGAGGAGGGTATCCCAGCCTGGTAGCTGCTGCCACTCACATCACCACCACTGTCCTTCATCCCCACGATATTTGGGTGCTGAGAAAGTGTGACCACTGCATCCACAGGCAGGTCCAGCCCTGTGTTGGCTGGGACACTGTACAGCACCACGGGGATTGGAGAGAGATCAGCAACCTGAGGAGAACAGAGAGAAAGAAGGAGATGGCAGCCACCCCAAGTCCTCAGAGGTGCAGGCTTGGACCCACTCCTATCTGAACAGTTCTGCCTCCTGAACTCTGAGCCACCAGTGCTGTAGACCGTGACTGCAGCTACTGTATCATGATGGAAAATATCTATTGAATGCTATATACATTACATGGTAGGCACAGCTCAAAATCCTTTGTGTCCTAGATCTCACTTACACCTCAACAACCACTGTTCCTCCCTTTTTAGAAGGGGAGGAACCAGTGACACAGAGTGGCTCAGTGTTACACAGCTGGTATATGGTAGTTGTGTCCCATAGCTGCCATTCACATGAAGTAGGCTCACCACTCTATTCCCAGCTTCTCAAGTCTCCTCTGGATGCCAGGCCTCTGACCCATGCCCACCCCTCATACCAACCTTGGTGTAGTGGTGAATGAGGGCAGAGCTGTTCATGCGGCCACGATAGTAGAAAGGAGTCACCACCATGACAGCATCAGCCCCAACCTGCGCCATGCTGACAGTCATCTCCACAGTGGCTTGAGTGGCTGCAGGAGGCAGAGCAGGAGGAAGTATCAGTTTGGGGCAAGACACTGGGGCAAGCAAAGGGAGCCTCAGAGTGTCCCCAAAGAGGCAGAACAAGCAGACAAAACCCAACCCCAGGGCCAAAGAACCTGGACCCCATAGCCCAGCCACCCACAAGGGCCCAGGGCATTCAGGCCTCACACTCGCAGCCGGAGCCTGCTAACAGGAGTTTGTCCTTGGGCATGACCTGGTGCACTCTGCTCACCACCTCCAGGCGCTCGCTGCTGGTCAGGAAGGGGAACTCGCCAGTGGAGCCTTGGACCACAAGTCCTGCAACAGAGGCCCCATCTCAAGGACTGACACCTTTCCATCCTCTTAGGAGTGACTGGGACACTAGTGTTCAACACTCATCAGGTTCCTACCTCCCCAATACCATCATTTCCCACATCTTTCCTTCCCACTCCTGGTTTTTAAAAATTTTTTTCCCTCATATTTGGCAACAGAATTTCCTAATTTATTTGAAAAAGCTTGAAATAAAGATCTTCTAGGTTTGACCCTTTTATTCAAATTATCAGAAAAAAAGGCTTCTAATTAGTCTGCCAAACAACTGATTGACATTAGCAAAGAGATGTAACTGGCTGATGAAATGCTGACATTTTCAATGTGAAGAATAACATCAGCATATTTTCTATAATTGTTTAGTGAATTTGAAATGACTATTTTGATTTTACAAGCATGGACTAGGATATGCTTTTCCTTTTGAATTCACCTGTTTTATTGTGAAATCTTAGTGTACCTGAGACAGATTGTGTCAAATTGTAAATTTAATTAAACCCAGAACCAGTACTCTGAAACAATGTTCAGCCAGAATCAAAGGCTTAAAAGATGTGAGGCACAGTTTTAGAAGTCTTAATAAATATTTAAACCAGTCACTTCTTATCAAAATTGGTTCATGTTCTTTTAATTTCTATTTTTGTGTTTATCATGTATACAGTAAATATAAAAGAAACCTAGTTGCTAGTGGATAACAGATGTTCTAAATTCTTAACCTTGTCTCTCCTTCTTTTTAATATATACTTTTGTGTTATAAAAGTTAATGTTTTAAAATATAGGCAAAACATTATGTTATACAATGCATTATTAATTGTGATTACACATTTTCTAATGTTAATGCTTGACAATTTTTCCAACTCCTCCCTTTTGATTCAAATTATGAACTAAATATAGGATGTTTCTATTCACAATTTTTGTCCCCAAATATTTCAGCTGAGTAAATATCCACCTGCACACTGAGTAGCAGTCATAGCTCACAGTCAGTTTCTTCATCTTTGGATCAATGCTCCATTCATCTCCAACAACCTTCTGGTCATCCAGTTGCAAGCAACTTCTTTTATTGATTGTACCCTTCATGCTTTCTTTTCTGATTCTCTAAATCTGCTGACAGCTCCTCAGTCATTTATCTTATTGCTCATCCATTTCCCCTCCATCGGGTGTCCCAGGCAACCTTTTTGTTCATATTTTGTTTTGTTTCCTATAACTTTCTACCATAGTTCAAACAGCCTCCCCAGCTTCCCCCAAGATATATGTACCATCCCCGGGTAGTCTCACTTTGAAACATACTTGGACTGTTTCTTTTTTTTTTTCTTAGATTCATTATTGGTACATTTTAGGTATACAATACATTTACATTTATCATTGGGCACTTGTACCTTTACCATCCCTGTTCTGCTACTCTTTTTATTTTATTTATTTATTTATTTTTAGTACCAGGGATTGAACTCAGGACCTTGCGCTTGAGAGGCAGGCAGTAGAACCACTGAACTAAATCCCTGGCCCTCCCTGTTCTAATATAGGCAGAATATTTTCCCCAGGTATATGATAGTCTACTTAATAATTTTTCTTTGTGGGATTTTCCCCCCAGTACTGGGGATTGAACACAAAGCCTCATACATGCTAAGCAAATGCTGTACCATTCAGCTATATTCCCAGCCTTTTTTATTTTAAGAGACAGGGTTTGGCTACATTGCCCACGCTGGCCTTAAACTTGTAATACTCCTGCCTCAACCTTTCCAGTCATGGGGATTGCCCGCATATGCCACCATGACCAGCTATTTTTCTTTGTTTATTTCTCCTTGTTTAATGAAACATTGTAGCCTCACCAAAAAGAATAGCGAGTAATATAATCCATACCTGTGTACCCAGTGCCCATAGCAAACCTATCCTGATCACCTTCCTCCTTGTCCTGAGTCAGGTGTTTATTGTTCTCATTTATGTCTTTGCACACTTGCAACAACATACTTATGGACCCAGGAATATACACAGGCTTCTGCAATTTTAAACTTCACAGAAATAAAACAAACCTTATATAACCTTCTGCAGTTCGATGTTTTCATTTAATGTTGTGAGCTCTGTCCACACAGCACACATAGCTGTGATTCATTCATTTTAATTGATACATATCATATTCGATTATATGGTTAGATGACAGTTCATTTTTCATTCTGTTGTGGAGAACACTTAGAATGTTTCCTTCTTTTGGCTACTGAAAACAATGCAGAAACAATCATTTTTGCATATGTCCAAGACTTCCTCTAATATTAGCTAGGTGTGTAATTGCTGTGCCATGTACATGTGTATTTCTACAGGTACCACCCTTCCAAGTCAGTGTATACTCAGCAGCAGCATTTTTTGTAATGTCAGAACAAATTTTTTTGCCAATTTTCTGGGTGAAAATTGATATCTCATTGTTTTATTTATTTATTTGTTTGTTTGTTTGTTTATTTATTTATTTTTGGTACCAGGGATTGAACTCAGGACCTTGAGCTTGCGAGGCAGGCATGGCACCACTGAGCTAAATTCCCAGCCCCCTCATTGTTTTATTTTGCATTTTCCTGTCTCACAAACTATTTGAGAAGCTTCTAACATTTTATTTCTAAGAGAGACCAGCAGAATTTATGTTCTTCATCTGAACCCAAAGGAATGTTAGAATTACTAAGTTTTTCCATTTAACTTTCTTTTTTCTCTTCCTTCTCCTCTCTAGTCTATTCCAATTTTTACAAAACTGAAGTAGTTTACAAATGCTTCATACAGTGAGATTATTAATAAATAGAACGATGTTTGGGAGAAGTAAAAGAAAATAAAGCTGGGACTTGTATTGCATACAAAATCCCTGCACAGTTGTGAAAGTGGGTCCATGAATATGATGTGGAGCTTCCCAGCAGTCGAAGCTAAAAGGAACATGTGGTCAGTTAACAGATATGTGAACCTAAAAGATAAAAGCAAAGCAGCTGCCCTGGCATAGACCAAGAGAAATTGTTTCTGTGAGTCATCCTTAAGGGGACACAGTGTGATGCAGACTCAACTACATACCACAAACCATGCTGTTTACTACATCATTAGATTCCACTGAGTGAGTTGCCAGGCTATCACTCATAGTTAGCCTTTTTTTTTCCTTTCTCTTTCAAGTTTTTTGCCTTAATAATGTATAGCAAGCAGTATCTTGAGTCAAATAGCATCTGGTTTCATTGGATCACCTCCTGAGGGTTAACTCCTCCATGTCAGGCTGGAAGCTGAAGGGAAGAGGCTTCTGTGTGTTGCTACATCAGGCCCCAGAGCTTTCCCAGAAAAGCTGCCAGCCCTAGATGAGGGCTCTGATCTGGCCGTGATGTGACCAGCGTCCTTGACCAAGGAGTTAGAGGTCATACTCTTGCTGATTCCTCTATACAAAAACCAAAGCCATCTGCCACCCTGGGCTAGGGTGGACTAATGCCACAGTCCCTGACCCAACTACAATTGCTCCCAAGTCACCTTTCATCCAGTGCTCATTTCCAGGGGTCCCTGAGCTCCACAGATGGGCCTGGCCTCAAAGTGGGGTCTGGTACTCTGGGAGGTAGCAGCAGGGCCTGTACTCAAGGCTCCCAGAGCGTGGCCCTCTCTCTACTGTCCCTGGAAGGGGGCTTCTGCCCTAGGCCTGACTCCCTGGCTGAGGAGGAGCAGGACACTGGCTGGTGAGCAAGTCACATCACATCTCTGAGTCTCTATTTCTTTTTGTGTGGAAAGACAAATCATTTCAATCCTACCACATAGGGTTGTTTTAAAGGTTTAGCATTGTTTTAAAGTTTAAGTGGGATCCTCTTTCTAAAGTACTTAGGCTAGAACCTAGTACTCAACAAGTGTTAGCTGTAATAGAGTCGGAAGAAGGTGCTCAAACCTTAAACCGGGACTAGCTGGAATTAAGGGGGAATCTGGGGGAGGCCCTAACTCTCCCAGCCCCACCTGAAAGATAAGGCACTCTCATTTTGGAAGCTACTATCAACTGCTCCCATGGTTACTCTGGCTGCTGTAGAAAGCCAGGGTGGCTTGAGAGGGGCAGTGGGTGTTTGGGGATAGGGATCCATAAACAACATGGTGATTTTACTATGACCAGAAGGAATCACAGTCTGTCCTAAATAAGGAGATCCCTGGTCACTGTTATGGCTCCTTAATTCATCATCATCGCTTCCTCCAAGAAGTCTTCCTGGGATGCATCCGCTGGACCTCTCTACTCTGACTTCCATTTCCTTTTCTCTGTACTTCCTATTGTCTCCTTGCATACCCAGAGGTCCTCAGAGCTCTTCAATCCCATCCCTACCCCACCCCTCTGTAGGATTAGGCAAAATTTCCCAATCTGGCCTTTCTGTAAAATGAGAAGTTAGATCAGATGAACTCCAAAGTCTTCCCTGGCTCTAGATTCCATAGTCATTTTTTTTTTCTGGCTTTCCCCACTTCCCTTGATCTGTCTCTTAATATTTTCCTTCCATCAAAACTAACTGCTAGGGCCAGGGATATAGCACAGTGACAGAGCGCTAGCATGCACAAGGCCTTGGGTTCGATCCCTGGCACCACATTAAAAAAAAACAAAAAAAACACTTGTCAGTGTCCCACCTACCCACCCACACACACTCCCACTGTCCTGCATCTGCATATTTGCATATGCTGTCCCATTCTGCCTGGCCTCTGGTGGAAGCTCTCAGATGCTATGAGAACACCAAGATTTTCCTCATTTCCCTCCACCCTGTGCTCCACAGCATTTTCGTCTGTACAGACTAGTCTAGGTGTGTATCAGCAATATGTTATATAAAAGAAATACTGTCACACTTAGGAGGCTGAGGCAGGAGGATCACAGGGATTTCAAGACCATCCTGAGCTACATAGTGAGTTCAAGGCCAGCTGGACTACATAGCAAGACTGTCTCAAAAAAACAAAAACAAAAACAAAAAAATTGTCACAAGTCTGGGCTGGGGCAGAATATATTTTGCATGATGTAATTCCTAACCTCCCTCTGGGAAGACATTTGCATTCCCAACAAAATGCTTAAGCAATTTTCTGATGAATTTTAATGGACTTAAGCCTGGATCTGGGAAGCCAGCCACACTCCCCTTTGACTCAGGCCAGAGTGGCCATTAATTGCTCTTTGTATCTTATCTAATAATGATCCAATTGTCTATTTTCTAATAAAAAAATGTCCTCACCAAGAATATATACTTGAGTTGACTGCCATTTTGAGTTGAGGCCATTTTGCTTGCAGCATAATTGTAATAAAACTTACATGCTCCTAAATAAAACTGAACATGTTTTAGCTTTAAATTCTGAACTACTTTTAGCCCTACAGAAAAGTTACAAAAATAATGCAGAATATTTCTGTACATCCCTCACCTAATCTCCATCAACAACATTTTACCTATTGTAAATGATCAGAACCAGAGAATTAACATTAACATAATACAACTAACTGAAGACTTTTAATTTTGTCAACTTGAAAAATCTTTTAAAACTATTCTTCCAAGATCATAATTAGCTGACCTGAAATTTCATGTAATAAACTTTCAGTAAGAAATTTAAGGTCTCCCAGATATGTGCATGCATTTTAACAATTCCTTTCAGATGCCAAGCCTTACCACGGTCTTGATTTTTGTCTAATTTAACATTTTTCCTGTGTAATTGATCCTATTTTTCCCAGCTAAAATTTTTACTATGAAATATTTTAAATGTATAAATATATAAATCCAAATTTATATAGAGTCACTTGTTGATAATGTTCCATAAATTCAAATACTCTGAACTGTGCTTTACAAGATAATTTGTTTGGGTTGTTTATGGATTTAACCATGCTTTGCAGTGATTTGGGGGACCTGGAGTTTTAAGCACACAGGCTGGCAACTACTGGCAAATCCATAATAGATCCAAATGGTGAGAAATGTATATGTCAAAGAGTTACTTGGAGTTAGTGCTTTGTAATAGACTTCTCTAAAGATTCACAGAGGAAAGCCCAGAGATTTAGTGGTGCTGCCTGCATCACAAGCCCAAAGTCCTGAGTTCAATCCCCAGTACAAAAAAAAAAAAAAGATTCACAGAGGAGGTGGCTGCCTTCCCTCTATCTGGGAACGGGTCACCACTTGCCCCCACAATGCCTTCTTGGGACCCAGGAAAAGGAGGCAGGGAGAATCCTAAGCAGGGGAATTGCCAGGACATGTGAGAAGAGGTCAAGGTTAGTCACTCAAGGCAGAGCCATGTGGATTGGTAGGAAGAGGACCGGGAGGCAGCACAGGGAAGGAACTGGGGGACTTCAGGGGCTTTGGAGTTAGGCAAAGCTGTGATCTGGTCCAAGCAATATCTCTTACTATCTTAGGCAAATTATGTCTCTGACCTCAGTAGTCTCATTTGTGAAATGGAGAGAACCTAATGCCTTCATAGTAGATCTATGACTTAACATTTAACACAGGGCAGGGTATATACTTTTTTAAAAACAATTTTAGGGTGTATTTTTTTTAAAAGCCCTCAAGGGGCTGGGGATTTAGGCAGTGGCACCGCACCTGCCTCGCAAGCACAAGGTCCTGAGTTCGATCCCTGGTACTGCAAAAATAAATAAATAAATAAATAAAAATAAGTAAGCCCTCAAAAAAGAGGAAGCTGCCAGTAATACTAGTAACACTGGTAGCAGCAGCAGTAGCTACAGTCACAGCCGCAGCAGTAGTGACATAGACAAGCTTAATATCTGTGGATGCAGATGGTAGGGACATTCTCACATGGATCCCTAGGGGTTCCTGGAAGCAGATGGGGCAGGGAGGGAGATACAGAGTGGGATACCATGGATTTGAAAAGGCACCAAGAGGACAGGGTCGAAGCCTGTTCCTTATCCCGCCCCCCCATTCCTGCCTGGTTCCTCCTTCTCTGGCAACATCAGATTGGTGGGTTGGAGGACCCTAGAGGTATCTCCTCCCCAGCACCTGAGACTGGAAGTATGTGGGGTAGGAGAAGAGGGATGGATGGGTCAGGGGAGCTGTTTCATGGAGTCTTAAAAGCAAGCCCAATGAAAAGGCCCAAAGCAAGGCCCAGATTCAGATGACTGTTGGAGGAGGAACCCTTTCCCTTCACCTCTCCCAAACTCTGGCTGGCCACAGAGCCCCTTGACTCAGCATGAGGGGATACAAGGCTTTATTGGCTCCGTTCCAAGCATTTGGCATCAGTTTGGGGCTCTTGGCTGCTCCTGGGGTCTGCCTCATCTGTCTCCTCTCAGTATGTCTTCAGGGGTCTCAGGGTCTGTCACAGCTGCCTTGCTTCCCTTCAGCTCTTCCTCTACCAGGGTCCATCTTCTATGGAAGAGCCCACTCATAACCCCTGGGGAAGGGGCCAAGGAAGAAAGGATTTTGGTGACAGCATCTCACCCTGGGCCAAGAAGTTTCCCTGTAGAAGAGAAAACAGGCCTGTTTGTATGGGCCAGCCTTGCTGGGGGAAGGGGCATGTGCTTGGGCAGCTTCAAGAATTATACATCTGGTTGCTGCGGTTGGGCAGGCTATGGCTGTGGTGGCTTGGGTGGCCTGGATAACCCTGATGGCTCTGATGGCCATAGAAAGTGCTTGTGTGGTTGGCACCAGCCATGGTGGTTTCCCGCTGGGTGAGGAAACTCCTTTTCAACTTCATTTCCACCTCTTCGAGGGCCTTCAGCTCCTCCGGGTTGATATCCCTGGACTCCAAGTGGCCTGAGTGCTGGTAAGCTGTGGCTCGCTGCAGCATGGAGTTAGCCACACACTGCCCCTTGGTGTCAATCTCCTTGACCCAAGCAGCCACAGCAGCCCGTGTAGTCTCATCCGTGGAAGAGGGCTTTCCTGACTCCTTGTGGGTCTCCTTGGTCACTGTGGACCCAGACATCTTCTGACTGCTGGTGACAGATTCCTGGTGCAGAGCTGTCCTCCTTTCCCCAGGCCTGGAGGTGACGGTCTCCATGCGGATCGGGGTGCTGGCCTTCCCACTCCCACTCTCAGGCTGGATAGCGCTGCTGGTGCAGGCATGGTTGTCAGGGGCCAGTTTCTCCTCAGACAGGCAGCTAAAGTGAGATTTGATCCAGCTTTCCTTTGTTTTGTGGGATTCCCGTGACTCATCTTGTGCAGTCTCTGGGGTTATCTTACTTCTCTTCCTCTGATCCCACAGCATGAGGCCTCCGCCTCCTAGCAAGAGGATGGTCCCCAGCACCACCTTGCATGGTGGTTGCTGGATGAACTCCAAGAAGGTCTCCAGGACCCTACACCAGGCAGACAGAGCTAAGAGCACACTGGGAGTTGAGGAGCCAGGTGGTATGGCTCATGCTTGAAAGGGCAGGCTCTCCAAGAATGTCTGACAGACAGGCCACTGCTGTGCCCTCCCTAGGCTACCCCTGTTGCATCAGCAGTGAGCTCCATTATGAGGAAGACAGTTGGGGGAGGGGGGAGGGGAGGCAGCCCTCAAGTCTAGCCTGGCAGTCATTACCTCAGGCCTGGGTCCTGTCTCCCTCACTGACCACTGTCCTCAAGGTCAGATAGTTTCTCCAATTCTAATTTCCCTTTGGCTTTTGCTACTCTGTCCTTCTTATTGTCTAGTCTTCAGTTTTTCTTCCTCCCTATTCAGTGGCCCTAAGGGCAGAGGATGCTGAGTCAGGCTGGGCCTGGCTGGGATGGCATCCGTTCTTGGCCCCCTGAGATTGGTACCTTCCTCCATCCAGATGCATCTCTGCTACCAGCTCAGCATATTCCATCCCCAATTGTAGCCTTCACTCCCATTACAGGACAGAACCCAGAACAAAAAAGGCTCAGGAGGGAGCTCATTCTGGAATAACATGAGGTCACAATTGGGAGGAGACAAGCAGTGGGCTGAGAAGACAGAGCAGATAGGACAGAAGACTTCACTGGGTCCCCATCCTTAGTGCCATTCCAGAGTGGTGTCTGCTGTCTTGTGTCCTAGTGACGCACCTGCAAATCCAAAATGTGCCTCATGGTAAATAAATGAGCACAGTGTAGGGCATGAGAAATAGGCCACCTAGCCAGGCTTTCCCTGGAGGCCTGTATAATCCTGAGTAATTCTCATGCATCTCAGTGAAAAAATATGCCTAGGCTGCTCTATTTTTCCCCCAAAGTAATTTAATACATTTTATTTTATTTTCCTCCTTTCCTTCTTTCTTTCTTTGGTACTGGGGATTGAACTCAGGACCTTATGCTTGCGAGACAGGTGCATTGCCACTGAACTAAATCCCCAGCCCCCATCTAATACATTTTAAAAATGAAGCCAGGCCTTGTGGCACATGCCTATAATTCCAGCATTCAGAAGGCTGAAGGAGGAGGATCACTGTGAGTTCAAGGCCAGCCTGGACTATACACAGTGAGACCCTATCAATCAATCAATAAAGCAAGCCAAAATAGGCTTGTAAAAGTAGTGACACTTTAAACAAAACATCTTCTCTAACAGTAATGATTTCTTTCTTTTTTTTTTTTTTTTGGTAGCGGGGATTGAATTCGGGTCCTTGTGCTTGCGAGGCAAGCAGCAGAACCACTGAGCTAAATCCCTGGCCCTCTAACAGTAATGATTGTAATACTAGTATATACAACAGTATTTTATCTTTCACAAGAAATCACAGTCTATTCTTCATAGAAGAAGTAAGATGCTAGTTTAAAGTTTTATGGGCAACATCTGCCCTGCCTTGCTTGATTAGCTCTGTGGTTGTCCACTAACTTCAGTTGAAAATAACAATTCAAAGTCCACTTTTGAGGTTATATAGAGGTGAGTTCAGGGCTACATGGCCCTCTGGAGAAGCCCTCCTTTCAGTCTCTGATTATAACCTTTTTTTGTTGGTTTTCTGAGATAGGATCTCATTAAGTAGTCTGGGGTGGTCTCGAACTCACTATGTAGCCCACTGTGCTTCAAACACACAGTCCTCCTGCTTCAGTCTCACAAGTGCTGGGATTAAGGTGTGTGCTCAGCTTCTGGTTATAACTTTTATTCAAATAATCAGTACAAATTAGCAATGTTTTTGTTTTTTTTTTGGTACCTGGGATTGAACTCCGGAACTTGCGCTTTCAAGGCAGGCGGCGGAACCACTGAGCTAAATCCCCAGCCCTGGCAATGATTCTTTTAAAAGATTTTAAAAAGAGCTACACAGTTTCAGGCAGGGCCTTCCAGGAGGCTGTCTGTGTTCACTCATGCAGACTCCCACCTCGTCTTTAGAGATTTTTTTTTATTCTTATTTTAATTACACATGCTTGCAGTATGTAACAATTACATCCCTTGTGGGAGTTCATACACATGCATAACACAACTCAATTCTTTTTACTTCCCCTTCCCCTCCCCTCCTTCCAGGGCACGTTGTTGCAGACACCTCGGAACACCAAATAGCTGCCTCCTCTCCCCCAGGGTATGGCCTGAAGGTCCACTCCAGAACTGGACAAGAGAAATAGGTTTTAGAGCTGACATAGTTTGATTGAGTCCACAGAGGCCCCGTGACAGGATGCCCCAGTTCTACATTGTCGTGGCTAGTAACCCGAAGGATCAGCTCCCTGTTCTAAAATGAGGAAACCAGACTAGGAGGTTATATAATTTCTCCATGTCACTCTAATGGCCAGCCAGGAGCCTTATCCAGGTCTTCAACCTCCAGGTGCTGGGCTCTTTGTCCCTCAGCCCCTGCCTCCTTGATGTGTGGCTGAGAGAGGGAACAGACAAGAGCAGGAGGCTATATGCCGAATCCTCCAAAGCCTATGCTCCAGAGCCCTCCATGACCTAGGTAGAGTGAATCTACAGGATGGAAAGGAACATCCAGAGAAGAGTCTGAGGGTTTCTGGGAATTCTTTGGTTGGCAGGCAGACACCAGATATAAAATTGTCCCTCCCAGTTCCTAAACTAGAGTGTCCTGGAAGTTTGAAGCTGAAGCAGAGTCTTCTGTCAGAGGTTCAGGACCGTCTTGCTTTGTTTCAAGGGAACCAGGCCTCATCCAGCCCTTAGGCCCCCATAAGCAAGCCAAGGCAGACATTTACTTAGAGGTGGTTTCCCTGCTCAATATGGGTGTCCACCAGGACTTCACTGTCCCCTGAGGAAGGGTCACATCATTTGTATACTGAGCTATGAATGGAGGCTCAGTTGCACCACTGGTAACTGTTACAAAGCAGCTATGCCACATTATAAATCACACTGCCATTTTAATACTCATCACCATAGGAATCACCTTCTCATGTATACCACTCTATAATCTACAGTGTGCTCTCACTTTCCCCTCTGATTTTTCTCCCAACCTTTTCACAATATAACCATCATTACCCCTATGTGTCAGATGGGGAAACTAAGGTTTACAGAGATTATCCCACTATAAGTCAGTGGCATAGCTGTGATTGGAAACCAGAGTCCACTGTCTTAGCTGCTAACCTGCACCACCAAAGTCATAGCTACACCATTCCCAAAGCTGGTACCCACCCAACACTATTTGTTGAGATAGTCTGGTCTAGTGACTCAGAGGGGGCTGATAGAGTCAGCAAGTAGAAAGAAATAGAGTATGGGCCGTGCCATCAGAGCTAGCCCAGACCTCAGGCCAGCCATGTGGTAACTCAGTGGTCTTGGACAGTGGCCACATCTCTGAGTCCCCAGTTCCCATCCATGAGATAGTGCTGTCAAGAGCACTGCCCATGAACTGCCCTAAATTGGGCCATTTCCTTCTACCTTCAGGTATTGCACCTGTGGCTGTGTGCCATGTTGGAGTCCCTGGCCTCAGTGAGGGGGAGAGCCATGTATAAAGAAGGAGATGAATCAAAGGAGCTAGTACAATAACTAATTCTGGGGCCAGGGATTTAGCTCAGTGGTTCTGGTGCCTGCCTCGCAAGTGCAAGGTCCGGAGTTCAATCCCTGGTACCAAAATAAATAAAGAAAGGAAGAAAATTTTTTTAAAAAGAACTAATTCTGCCAAGGAAACCTTGGCCTGGAAGAGAACATGCAAATGAGGCTTGGAGAATAAGGAGGTTGATGCTGGCTGCACTGCCACATGTGACTTCCTCTGATGTGGTCACACCAGCATGAGGGTCTGCTTCACAAGGATGCAACACTCATTCTCCAGCATAGTCCCACAATAACTCTGGGAGCTCAAAAGGCACATTAGCCCTTCACAGCTGAGGAAACAGAGGCAGGAGAGTTTGGTCTGAGGTGCCAGCACCTGTGTGCCTCCCCCAGCCTCTGGTTCCCCTCCCACAGGGGACAGGCCTGCTTACCTCGGAAGGGGAGGGTACCCAGTTTGTGCAGGTTCTCCTCCAATTTCCCATAGTCCACCTCTGCGTTCGCAGCAAAGGGGGTAGTCACAGGGGGGTAGATGCCTGCGATGTCCACCTTCTTCCCCTCCCCTGAGGCCCAGCCCCTCGCATTTCTAGACAAGCCCCTGCTCAGCCCCTGCCTCGCAGAGGCCCACATTTGAGGACCCAGCATTTCTCAGGCAGCCTGGGGCCCAGCTGGTCTGTGTCCCCAAGTGAGGCTGAGTTTGAGCTCTTTTCTAACCCTTGTTAATGATCAACATGTCTAGTTAAAAATTGGCAGTCCCCCAGATTTGTAAGCACTGGGGAGGCCTAAACTAGGTGCTCCCAGGGTCAGAAGCAAGTCCTAAAGGTTCTAAGGAGTCCTTTTTCTCCCTGGGAAGCAGCTGAAGAAATGCCACAACCCAGTGTCTCTCTGGCCAGACATGGAGCTGGTTTCTGGGTGCCAACACTAAAGGGGCTCTCCGGTCGGCCTAGGGCCTCTTCCCACAATTCCCAGCCACAAAGCCAGGGGCCATATCAGTTTCCAGGCTGGTGGAGCGGATTGGCTGAGCTGGACCATCCCTGCTCTGTGGGAAGGAGGTGCTTCACAGAGTGCAAGAAGCTGCTTGTGACAAGCCGCTGCCTCACTTCCCTGCCAGGCTCCTCCTGCCAAGGCGACCAAGCATCAGGCTTGTGCTGGCCACACATAGCTCCACAGGACAGCAGTCACGGGGTGGGGGTGGGCTAAGAATATCATCAGGCTTACATGTGCAGCGACCAAAGCTGGGACCCAGGATTTGGGAAAGTGCAGAAAAATGGGGTGGCAGAGAAGAAACAAAACAACAGTAGAGAAAGCAGCAAGGGTGGCTCAGAGGGGCCAAAGGGCTCCAAGATGCCTTTGTCCTCAAATCGACCTTTGCTCCAGCCTTCAATCCTACAAGATTTCAAACACAAATGGCAACAAACAGTACAAATAGCAAAAATAATTTTTATTACGCTAGCTTGTGGGCATTCCTGTATTGTGGAGTGGAGTGGAGTGGCTGGTTCCTCAGCTCTGAGGATCATCCTAGGCCCCTCCCTGCTTTGCACACAGGAGGGGGTGGGTTCTGGCTGCACTGAAGCAGGCATTTACTGGGCTGGCACTTGCTGGGGGGTCTCACGTCCACTCTCAGACCCCTCTAGCCCATTCTGCTCTGTCGCTGGCTCAGGATGTTCCAGGGCATGCCGAGTGTCAGCCTGCCACAGCTGCACCAGGTCCGTGGGGGTCTTTCCTGCCTGGAGGAACCACAAGGAGATCTGTTCACAGTTCCAAAGTCTACTAGACTAGAAGGTGCCCTCAGCTACACCAGTGGCTCTCAACTGGAGGCCACTGGCCATGGGTGAAGACATTTTGGTGGTCACAACTGGGATGTAGGTGCTAGTGGTATCTAGTGGGCAGAAGCTTAAACATCATACAAGACCCAGGACAGTGCCCCTACAATAAGAATTATCAACCCCTAATGTCAATAGTGCTGAGGTTGAGAAACACCCTCTCCACATCCTTCTGCTTTTCCCAGTATCCCCTTAACCCTTCGTGTGTGTGTGTGTGTGCGCGTGCGCGCATGCGTGCGCGCTTCCCACACTCCTTTTGTGATTGCTCTGAGCCCCACAGAAGAGCCTGAACTAGGGCACAACAATCCTCAGAAAACTCGAGGACCACCAGGAATCAACAGTGTGCTACGGATGGTCATGCAAACCAAGTGCTTAGGCTCCTCTCAGTTCCGTCCCACCATGATCGCTGCCACCCTTGGGCCTGCATGTTAGGATCCCTGGCCTATTTGTGTGCCTTAGAAAGCCCTCATACTACACTTCTTACTATCTCTCTGGGCTTGTACTCTGGATATTCACACACACGGGACTGGGAAGGTGGATGATAGGAATGGTATTAATGGAACAAGACAACTTGTGTACTCTGCTGATGGGCAGACACAGTGATATGTGTACTTACCAGGTTCTTGGCCATCATGTCAGCCCCATGAAGGAGCAGCAGTTTGATGATTTTGTAGCGGTTGAGCCTCACAGCATCATGCAAGGCACTGTCTCCTTCCTAGAACCAGGGTAGTACTCAACATGGCCCTTGGGGGCAGTAGGTGGGAAGCAGGGTGACAGGAGATGGTCTAGAGACCCTGCTCAGGAGCCACTGTCCTGAGGGTCCCAGAGGAAAGGACCACTTGCCCGTGGGAGCTGGCAAGCTGCTCACACAACCATGGTGTGGCTGGCTGGGGAGCAGGGGAAGCACTCACTCTGTCTCTGACGTTGATATCCACGCCCAGGGATAGAAAGTGTTCCACAATCTCCACATGCCCCGTGCGGACTGCCACGTGCAGAGGGGTGCTCAGCAGCTGTGGGGTTTAGGCAGGAATGGCTAACTGAGGGACCTGGACCATGGTACCTCTGGGAGAAGGGACTGGTCTAACTCCAGCTTAATCTCTCCCCTAGGCCCTGTTGCCAAGACCTGAGCCCTGGAGGGATAGGGCATGGTACAACTTCCCGCCATCCTATCCAATGATCTAACTCTAAAGCCTTAAATGTCACCTCCTCTGGCAGCCTTCTCATTCTCCTCTCTCCTGTGAGCAAGAGTTCATTATTTATTTATTTATTTATTTATTATATTGTGGTGCCTTGAGATTGAACCTAGGGCCTTGCACAAGCTAGGCTAGTGCTCCACCACTAAGTCCAATTCTAGCCCACTCTTCTTTGAATCATTACAGTAGATGCTACTTATTGCAAGACGACATGTGGTGACATGACAAAATGCAACGTAAAGTACTGTCCCATCTAACCTAACCAAGAAACCTGCAAGACGTTTACAGATGAGTACAGAGGCTCAGAGGCTATATTACTTTAGCCTGGATTATACATGAAAGAACAGAAAGATAGGGGTGGGGATGTAGCTCAGTGGCGCTGCACCTGTCTAGCAAGCGCAAGGTCCTGAATTCTATCCTCGGTACCAAGAAAAAAAAAGGATGGTGGATTAATAAATGAACAGATGAATAAATGGATGGATAGATGGATAGCTAACTGGGTGGATGGTTGAGGGATGGGTAAATAGATGATGAAGTTTTGCATGGATGAACAAATTCTGCATCAGAAGTGGGCCCCAAGCCCCTAAGAGAGTGGGTCTTTTGTCCTTCTCTCTCCTCTGCTCTTTCTGCTCCCATTCCCAGATGGTGGTCCCTTCAGGGCTTATGGCTGCTCTGCAACCACTACAGAAATTCAAACAGTTCACTATCATCCTACCACCTGAGCTCACCTGTCCTTTGCCCCCTGCCCTCTCCCTGCAGTGACCCCAATATCTACTGCATCTGAGCACTGCTGCCTACCTTATCTCTCACATTGGTGTCTGCTCCTCGGCTTTGTAGGAGTTTTACCACCTCTAGGTGGCCTCCACGACAGGCCCAATGCATGGCTGTGCAGTCCAGCTAGAAGGGAAACACAGGCCCTAACTTAGAGTTATAGGGAAGCAAGTGCCCTGGGGAAAAGGACTCCAGTCAAGAGGGCAGAGAGACATGCAGGGGAAAGGTACTGGGAATGGGCAGAGACTGGGCCTGGGGAGTAGAACAGAACATGCAGGGACTCACTAGCAGTCCATGCCAGAGTGACAGAGGAGGCTCAAGAAGGAGATTGAGCTTGCCCAAGGTCCCACAACCCACGAGAAGTGGGACCTGGCCCTGAGTAGTCTACTGAGTCCCAGATTGGCAGGAAGAGGGAGTCTAATGGTACTGGGCCCACCTCCTACCACCCCACTCAATACCTGCCCTCTTTGCTCACCCGATCCTGGAAGTCCACAGTAGCCCCATTCCCCAGAAGCTTTTCCAGGATCTCCATGTGGCCCTCTAGGGAAGCTCGGTGCAGTGCTGTCCGATGGAACTGTCCCCAGAGAGGCTGTTAGGGCCTGGCCTCTGGCCCCAGGCCTGAGCCTATCTCTCACCCAAGTTGAAGCCCAGGCTTTGCCGCAACTCGTTTCTGACCCCTGTGCTGGGTCTTCATGTCTTTCATTGTCTGCTAGCTCCTTTATGTCCTATCCAGGCCATCCTTGGAGCCTCTGCCCTGGGGACTCTGACTTTCTCATTACCCACCAGTACATCAGCCCTCTCCTGCACAGGCTGGATGCTCTCCTGGGCATGTCTGTTTCCCTTCAGTTCTATGAGTGCTTGATTAATATCTGCTACTTCTTCAAGAAACAACTCATGTGCCACTATTTCCTTGAAACCTCTAGGCCAGAGTTGCCTGGGGGACCCAGATGACCCTTATCTATGACAGAGTGTTTGAAGGCAGGGTGAGACATCATGGAAACTATTTTCCCTGAGTGCTGAGCACAGAGCCAGGATGAGGAGGTCACACTGATTCCTGATTCAAGGAAGGAATGCTTTAAAGTCTTGAAAGTGAAACACTCAGGCAGGACTGTAGGGTATGCCTTCCACTTGCTACTAATCCGGTTATGGCTAATCTCCCATGATTCTCAGCCTTTTCCTTTTTCTTCTTTTAACTCCCAGCACTGAATAGTAGAAGGTGATTGGACAGACAAAAAAGACTAAGACCCTGGAGGCTAAAAAATAGAAAATGGTCAAAGTCTACAATAATGCAGACTGAGTGGATGACCATTGCTATGTTTGATTCTAGGATGTGAAAGCAAGGGAGCAAAGAGACAGTTTGGGGAAAACAAAAAGTGTGATGGGCGATGGAAACATTTTAAAAATAGATGGTAAAAAAAAAGTTATCTGCTGGGGGTTTAGCTCAGTGTTCTGGCGCCTGCCATGCAAGTGCAAGGTCCCAAGTTTGATTCCCAGTACCAAAAAAAAGCGATGATGGTTGCACAACATTATAAGTGTAATTACTGACACTGAATTATATGCTTACAATGCTTAAGTGACATATTTCATGTGATATTTTACCAGAACAGAATAATGAAAATAGGTTGGGGGTGTGGCTTGGTGGTTCAGTTGGTCGCCTAACAAGCTTGAGGCCAGCACAAAAAGGATTTAAAGGCATCATAAGATTATATCATAAAAAATAATAATGTATCCTAGTGCTTGCTTTGTAGGTTTTGCATTCATTCAACAAATATTTATTGAGGCGTTAATATTCCATTAATCATAACATATTGTGAGAAATGTGGGTCATATAACAGTGGGGGCAGGGTGGGGATGTAGCTCAGTGGTGCTGTGCCTGCCTGGCAAGTGCAAAGTCCTGAGTTCAATCCCCAGTACCAAAAAGATAAAAAAAAAAAGGGCTGGGGATTTAGCTCAGTGACATGGTGTCTGCCTTGCAAGCATAAGGTCCTGAGTTCACTCTGGGGTACCAAAAAGGAAAAAAAAAATAGTGGAGGAAACTAAATGACCTGCCCAGACAAAGGTCGCATAGTTAGGGAGTGGTGGACATGGGATTCAAGTCCAAACAAGCTAGTCCTGACATTTTTTTTTATTCATTCCT